CAGGAAATCAGTCTGGTGGAGAGAGTTCCACTCCACCGGCCAGATAAAGGGTGGGTATTCAGCATACATCAACCGCTCTCAGGACTAAAGGAGTACATAACCCAATATAAAAATGGGCTACTGATTTGGACAAAATGCGCCAGAGGGATAGCGCCATTTTTCATTTGGCAAATGCAAACTAAAACCACAGAACAGCACCATCGCACACCTACTAGAACAGCTAGAAAGTGAATGAATCGAGCCACCACACTGCGCTGACAGTGGTGCGGAGGGAAGGAATGTGCCACAGGCGAGAATAAACCCAGCACGGCGCCCAGATTCTCAGCCACTCGCCCACACTACACAGACAGGGCTGATGTGGACCCTGAGAGCAGCGTTTTAAAGAAAATTTTATTTATTTGTTATTTTAAAGGCAGTGAACAGAACAGTAAAAAGAAACAAAACAAACAGTAACAGGACAGCAGGAAATCCACGACCATCACTGCACTGCATATTGTTATCCTCTGAGTAGTTACCGGCCTGCTGGCCCTGACCTGCAAAGTCAGCCAAACAGCACAAACCTCAGGTTGTTTCTCTGCCGATCACTTAAAGGCCCCGGGGAGGGGCTTCCTTGCTGCCTCTCCCCATCCGTCAGGGCCATCCCCTCTGGTTTCCTTAGTTTTGCTACATTCCTGAATTCTCTCTCTCCATGGGCATCTCCATGGGGTCCTTCTTGTGCTCAGGGGACCCGCCTGTCTCCTCCTCCTCCTCATTTTCCAGGATCTGGACACCAAAACTTAGTGAGGTTGTTTCTCTGCTGCCCACCATGCCTCCATATTCCCAAAGTCCCTTTTTTTAATTTAATTTTTTTGGTTTCTTGAGACAAGATCTCACTCTGAAGTTCAGGCTGGCCTTGAATTCACATATCATGTAGCCCAGGCTAGCTCAAACACTAGAGAGACCTGTGGCCTCAGCCTCCCAAGTGCTGGGATTATAGGTATGGGCCACCACGCCTGGCTGGAGAGCAGCTAGAAACATTCAAGGTACACTCCAGCAGGTGAATAGCTAAGAACCATGACTCATCCCTGAGTTGGACAGGAATGAATGCCAGTTCCTGCCCTGGGAAAGATCTCACCTGCTGCTTTCTGTGTGAGGGAGCCAGATTCAGCAGGCCGCTACTGCACAGTCCTATCCTTGTGCTCAGGAACAGGCAAAGCTGGGGAGAACTCACTCCAAAGGGCAAGGGAGGGTGTTCTGGAAATGCTGAGACTGCTGGGTTCTGACTATGGCGAGGAGGGTGACTGCAGCTGTCAAACTGTCTCTGAAATATAAATGCAATGGACTAATTACTAGAAAAATGTGACCAGGACAAGTGAACAGTTCTGATAGCCCCATAAGGACAAACCGATCGAAGTACTATCTCAGTCTTTGCAGGAAAACACATAGGGCTGGAAGGAGCTCTTTTGAGGTGAAGTCTTAGGGGAGGGCAGAGGTCAGTGCTGCCCTACCCATAATCCAAGATCTGAGGTTTCCTTGGGAGGGCCCCTGCCCCCTGGTCCAGAGGGAGCAGGGCTAGCCAGGGTCGAGATGGAGCATGTCTGTGAGTGTGCATGTGCACACCTGTGCCTGCGTGTGCATGCCTGTGTATGTGCAGCATAGCAGGTGTGGTCCTGTGGAGGGAAGGAAGTGGTGTGTGCTGCAGGCGGACCGGAGGTGGAAGGTGTGATGGGGCCCGGGGCTGACCTTCCACCTGAAGGAAGCCTCCCAGCCGGGCCTTTGGGTACATGTGGAGCTAGCTTCTTGGGTGGGAGGAGCTCCCTTCTCAGTCGTGTTCTGGGTGGGCATCAGCCCCTGCCCCCCAATTCCCTGCCTCTACCGGATGGGGTGTGGCCTGCACATAACTTCCCTGTGGTTTCTCCTGTGCCTACAAGTGTGAGAGCCCTCCTTGGACTGCGGGTCCCCTAGGGAAGATCTCCCTCAGGTTATACCCTGCTCCGGGGAGCTGCTTGGAGGGGGTCCTCTAAACAGCAGCATGGGGCCTCACAGTGGTTGCTCTGTGACTCCAGAAGCTAAGGTGGCTATACTCTGACAGCCTGTAGGGGAAATGGGTGACCCGGTGCGTGGGTGCTCCACGTCAGTGGGTGCTTTTCCATGTGGGCAGTGTCTCCCCACAGTGTCTGGGACTGTGTCAAGGGCCAGATGGCATAGGAGAAGAGCTGAGTGGCATTTCCTAGGTCCCCCACCCACATCATTTTTTGACAGCAGAGGCAGAGCGCTGGGGAGGCCACATTGTCCTGAGTCTGTGGGGAGCTCTGTACCCACTGCTGCTTGATCTCACTGCCAGTGTGGAGCTGTATGATTGGAATGCCCAGGGCTGGGCAGATGGGGCCAGCAGGGAGCTCCCCATTTGGTGAGGTCCTCCAGGTGGCTGTGCTCCCAGGTGAGGGCAAGAGTAGTGTCTAGGGTCCCCAGAGCAGGAGGGCCTGGCCTGCTGGGTAAGAAGATGTGGCCACTCCTACCTCTGGGAGGGAAATTCCCATTTTCTTCTTTTTTACTTCCCTCCCCTCCCCTCCCCTCCCCTTCCCTCCCCTCCCCTCCCCTTCCCTTCCCCTCCCTTCCCTTTCTCTTCTTTCCTCCTCTCCTTTCTTTTGTTTTTGTGGTGCTGGGGATTGATCTCAAGGCTTTCGAACTGGGCTACCTCCCCCGTCATTTTTATTTATTTTACATTTTGGGAAAGTCTCAGTAAGTTACTGAATTGCCCAGGCTGGGCTTGAACTTGTGATCCTCCTGCCTCAGCTTCTCAGAGTGCTGGGATAGTAGGTGTACACAGTCATGCCCAGTTTGAAAAAATTCAATGTCTAATTCTCGCCTGCTCCAGGCCTTGGACAGGCCCTCGATGGAGCACACACAGAGCCACATGAAGCTTTCTTGGGCTGCCACAGGGGCGGAGCAGGGTTCGAGCCTCACAATCCTGTTCTGTGCTCTCTCCAGAGCTGGGGTGGGGCCTTCAAGGGAGGCAGAGGTAGGACCCCTTTCGGTTGCACTTCTGCATTTCCCTGTGGCCCAGGCTGATTCATCAGACAGAGGCTGGAGACAGACAGTTGCCTGTCCCTGTTCCTGCCCCCACACCCTGAGGCCTGGGGTAGCCCTAGTCTCTGGGGCTTTTCCTGTCTCAGGGGACCCTTAAGATAAAAACAGTTCCTGTGGGGCTTGGTGGTGTAATCATAGCACTTGGAGGCTGAAGCAGGAGAATCACAAGTTTAAACCCAGTTCAGGTAACTTAGTGATTTAGGGAGATCCTGTCTCAAAAGAAAAAATAAACATGGGCTGGGGATGTAGCCCAGTGTGAAGGCCCTGGGTTCAGTATCCCAAAACAAAACAAAACAAAAATAAAAAGCAGGAAAGCCATTTCTGAGCCGCTGAGAGTGGGGAGCGGGGGGAGGGGGGGCAGCTGGAGCTTTGGAGATGGTGCAAGAGCAGGAGGCAGAGAAGAGTGATGCTAGGGTCCGAGAGGCTGGGGGCTGCATGGGCAAGCTGCTCGGGGCACTCAGGGCAGGGAACCCGGGATCCAGCCAGGCCCTGCCCTCAGAGGATGCCTGGGTACCCAGTGACCACCACACCCTTCAGGGGAGCACTGGGGATGGAGAAACGCACGGGGTGGAGGGACAGGCCTGCAGCTCTGTGGGACCCTCCGGGACCCCTGTTCTGAGGGGTGGCAGGGCCCAGACCCCCTAATGAAGCCAGGCTGCTGAGGCCCGGAGTCCAGGCATCTGCCAGGGACTCAGGAGACTGGGACAAGAGTCCCCTTGGGTATGCCCTGGGCAGAGGACTGCTAGAGTTGGCAAATTCCAGGGCTGATGCATCTCAAAAGCCCCTCTCCTCCCCCTCTCTGTTCTCAAATGTCCCTGGCTGGAACCTGGGGACCTTGTGTTCTCTGAGGTGTTCCAGGAGCATCCAGTGGAAATCCCCAAAAACCTGGCTTTCCCCTCCGTGTCCCCATGTGGGCATGTGGGAGAGGTGGGGACTAGGACTGGGACAGGCCAGGCTGCCAGAGAGTCCCAGAGGCCATCGAAATATTTCTAAGGGCAGTCACTGCCCACCGCTGGGACCAGGTGTCTCTGTAACAGACGAGCTCACCTGGTGAGGTGGATAGGCAGTTATCACAAGAAACAAGCCCAAGAGGACAGACCACACTGTCAGCCACACGGGCATGGGGGACAGCTGGACCACTGTCAAGAACAGCGGCTGGCAGAGCACACCGAGGATGCAAAATCTAGGACATCCTGTACACAGTGGCCAGGAAGTGGTGGTCACGTGAGTGTCCACCCAGGATGCCACGCAAACCAGTGGACACTCTGCACAGTGGAACACTGTGTAGCTCTGAAAAGGACGAAATTCAGATGCAGCGCAGAAGACCTCAGGGCACTGTGCTCTGTGAAACCAGCAAAAAAGTCAGTAGCATGTGAGGCTCCTGTGACAAAGTCTAGAGCCAGAGGGCAATATGGCAGGGCCATGCGGAGGTGGTACTAGTGGGTGAGGAGTTCCTATTTCGCTAGGTGAACAAATGTCCCGTGGGTGGGTGGCACAACAGCCACACAGAGAGTGATGGTGTTAGATCTGTGCACTTAGGAACGTTCTTTTTATGATGTGTTGATTTGACCACATGAAATAAAAGTCCACAAACCTCGAGAGGGAAGAAACAGGTCCACGTGATGTGGAGGAGGTGAGGCTCACCCAGCTGCTTGGGGAGGCTCTTGCTGCCAAGCCAGGGCTGGCAGGCACAGAGGACAAGGTCACTGAGGCGTGCAGCTTTGTGGCTGCAGAGGCAGTGGACCGTCCAGCATCACCAGCAGGCTGCTTAGTCCCAGGCCAGGTCCACTGTGCCTCTGCCTGAATACCTGTGCTTCAAGGAGCGGCCTGATGCAGGGGTGGGGTGGGGTCAGTGGCCAGTAGAGGAAGTGTTGCACCCAAGCTGAGGCTGTGGCCCTGGCAGGTGTTTCCGGGTGTCTGAAGCCCCAAAAAACTGGCTTTCTAGGGACTCTACCACTACCCACAGACTCTAGAGACTGCTGCTCAGGGTGGGGCCTCCAGCCATGTGGCCTGGGACACAGCGGGCAGCAGCTGTGTGGATCAGAGCCCTGGACTGTCCCTACATGGTGCCAGGTACGTGGGATCTTGGAGATGTCGTGGATCTGGCTCCAGCCCCCAGGCCAGCCGGGAAGGGCAGGGCTGGGCCAGATACTTTGGGGTGTTGAGGAAAATTCAAAGCCCAGAAATCCAGAGCCAGCCCTCAGGCACAGGTATCATGCGAGCAGTGGGTATATGGGCTACCAGCAGGCATCTGCAGAGAGCCTGGGCCGAATTTGGACCAAGATGTTCCCTCCCAGGGCTGAAAAAGCCACAGGGAGTGACCCACGAGGGCCAGGCAGCGCTTAGAGACTGAGGGCTGGTGCAGAGAAGCCCCCTGGCAGGGACCTCATACTAGGCTGGCCTATTCTCCCCAGCGCCTTTGCCCTCGAGGAAAGGGAGCGGGAAGGCAGGGCTGTGGCACCCGCCAGGCCATGTTCTGGGCCGACCCTGTGTGGGGCCCCACTGCAGAAGAAGTGGATCCGGCTTTCTGGGGCCCCTCCTGGGGTGTCCTGTGGCCACCTTGTCGGACTGGGGACACATGGGGCAGGTTTGGTACCACCTCAGATGAAGCCACCTGCCCCTAGTGTCCCCTGGCCTCTGTCCCTTGCCTAAGGTTGGGCTCCCTGCTGGGCAGTTTTCCAGCAGGGACTGCTGGTCTGGAGCCACTTTCTGCTGTCTGCCCCCAGGAAAGTGAGGAGGCCCTGATGTCAGGAGCGATTACTCGCTGCCCCAGGCCACCCCCACTCCCAGGCTCTGTGGTTAGGGGAGTTTCAGAGTACACGCATTGTGACTTCCTGAAACCTGTCTGCAGGCAAGCAAGGAGGGCCCGCAGTTCTGCCGTGGGACAGCCCAGGTAAGGTGCAGGCTGAAGGCTGGGGTGTGGACCCGGTGAACCGAGCACCCAGGGATCTGGTGGTGTAAAGGCACCAAGCCCAAGTGAGGCTTAATCCTGGGCTCATCCTAGGGAGCCCCCAGGGCTGTGGTGCCCCCCAGCTGGAGGCACAAATACTGACAGCTTCTTGGCCTTGCTTCCTGCATCCCAGGTGGCTTGTTGGTGACCTGCAGCTCCTTCCCTCCAGGGCTGCTCAGGCGGAAAGGCTGGCGGGGCTCATGGTCCTCCTCATGGTGTGCAGAGTGCTGGGCACACAGGCCTCCACCCATTCTGCCAGGCTGGTGGACCTGCGCTGCATGCTCTAGGGCTGGGCTGAATGGTTGTTCCCAGTGTCTCTGTCAAACTGAGAGGATGACAGAGACTTGGGAGTGGGGACAGGACCACGGTCGCCTGGCAGGTGTGAAGCGGCCTCACTAGCAATCCATTGGGAAGTGTGCTGCCGTGTGAGACATGTGTTGTTGCCCCTGAGCTCAGGAGGGATCTCCGGGGGGCGGACAGGACTGAGTCCTGCAAGGTGTGCCTGAGGGGACAGGTGGGCTGAGCCACGGTGGGGTGTGCAGGTGTGGGCAGGGCTCTGGCCAAGTAGCAGAGAGAGGTGCAGGGAACAGGGGCTGTGTGGGCTGTGGGGAAGCTGTGGTCTGAAGACACTGGACAGCACTGGGGGACAGAGGAAGTGAAGTGTGGATGGTTCCTGGGGTGGGAAGGGGACCCAGGGCAGCCATTGGCCCCCGGACTGATGTACCAGGGAGATCGTGCTACCCTGGGGCTGCAGTTCCCATAGATCACAAATCTGGGACCTGTGTGAGGCCTCCAGAGCCCAGCAGGCATCACAGCTCAGGGCCCTGAGAGCCTTGTGGGTACTGCGGGCATCGAGGATGGTGGGCCTTGCTTCAATGTGAGGGGACTGGGAGCCCTCACGACTGAGCTTGGTCGCAGCAGCCTGCGACTTGTGCCCCCCCCCCCCCCCCCCGCTTGCCGGCCCTCAGGCCTACATGGAACGCGTTAGCTGGAGACAGTCTCCTCGTGTGTCATCAGGGTGACACCTGGCCTAGACCTCTCCAGGGAAGCCTTGGCTGGCCCTACTCCTGCCCGGCAGAGCCCCTTCCTGAGAGGGAAGCATCCAGCTGCACAGAGTGGCCAGGGAAGGGACCCCTGGGCCAGGTATTACGAGCAAGGCATGCTGTGGAATTGGGACTAGGGCCCACCCAAAGCCATGTGCCCTTTGGACAGGGCTGCAGGCAGACCCAGAGTGGGAACCCACTATGAGGACCCAGCAGCTGTGCCTGGGGTGTAGGCCAAGGAGGGCCTGGTCATAGCACTGAGAATCTGATGTCCAGGTGGCGGAAAGCCAGGCTGTCCCATGTGGTCCTCATGTGGACCCCTTTGCTGTGGTCAGCAGAGATGGCCCCAGATCAAGGGGTCAAAGCCCATGCTGCTTGACTGGGCTGAGCAGGTGGCCATAGCCCCTCCTCTGGCCAGGCCCTGCAAGGGGCCTCAGGGTGGCAGGAGCGGTTCACACTTTCCACTGGAGTCTCACTTCCTCTGGCTTTTGCCAAGGGACCCCCCTTGTGAACAGGTGGCATGACCCCAGCAGGGGACAGGAGCTTCCTTCTGGACTGGTCTCTCTGGGTCCATGCAGGGACAGGGAAGTAAGTGAGTGTCTAGAAGCCCTCCTGGGCCTCTGGGTGATTTTTACTCTGCCCAGCGGCTCTGTCCTGGAGTGTGATGTGTGCAGGCTCGGGCTGCCAGGCCCTGCAGTCATTGCTGCTCTCTTTCCTGCCCGTGTCCCTGCTGGGGAGGACAGCTCGCCATGTCTGAGAGAGCCGGCCCTCCCAGCAAGGAAGCAGGGCCCCCAGGGGGTGGCACCTGGATCCCGGGGAGCACTGGCATCCCCAGGCAACCAGCACTGCCCTTGCTGGAGGCCCTCTCTCTGCAGGGCCACCGCTTGCCACCCTGGCACTCCTGTCTCAAGAGTGGCCAGCGAGCCCTGTGTCAGCCCAGACCTTGGCCCTGGGTGCCACCCAGAGTTCCCAGTGGGAGAGTCCTGAGGACCCCACGGTGTCCCCCCAAGCCACATTGGGGGCCAACTTGAGGCCAGGTGGGGCAGGACTGCATCCCAGCCAATTTTGGCACAGCCCTGAGATGGGAGAAGCCCAGAGGGGCCTGGCGGGGAGCAGCGTCTCGCAGCCTCCCCAAAGCTGCTCACTTTGAAGGCACAGCAAGGTGTCACTTAGCTACTCACCCGTTTGCTCCAGGTCCCTGGGCGCCTGGCTCCACAGACAATCCAGCTGTGCTCAGGCAGGCATCCGTTCAGACAGTCCATTCTCATACAGAACAAGTTTGGTGAAATTGCCATTTTTATCATTCCTGTGATATACTGTGGCAAATTTTATTAAAGGTAAGGGGCTGGGGATTTAGCTCAGCGGCATAAGCACCTGCCTTGCAAGCAGGCAGTCGTGAGTTCGGTCCCCGGTACCGATAAAAATGAAAACGACAAAAAAAAAAAAAAAAAAAAAAAAAAATTTTATTAAAGGTAAGAAAAGAAACAGGCTCTTCAGAGGCCAAGTAAAAGCAGGAAAAGAAGCGCAACCTACAGCCAGAGGATGGGCTGGCCACCACGCAGGAGGGAAGATGCAGCGGCCCATTTCCTCTTATGGCATTTTATGGAAGTTAGAGAAATAAATGCAACTTTTGGTCAACCTGTACTTAAATAATTGGACTGGTAGATGGTTTAAGCTCTTCTAAAGTCAGTGAACTTCCTGTCATTTCAGGAACACATCTCGGCTTCCTGTTATTTCGGGTCTAGAGACATTTAAGAAAGGACAGGCGGGGAAGCTAGTGGACTCTTCCCGGGGCCCTTTGTGCAGGGGCGGGATGTGTGCTGGGAGGTCTCTGGCGAGTGAAAGGCGGGAGCACCAGGCAGATCTGGGGACTCGGGCCTGGACCCTGGGATCGCACACAGGGGCTGTAGGCCTGGCGTCGCCGACCTGCGGGTGGAAGGCCGGATCCCTGATCACGGCTTTCGCCTGTGTTTCTCGGGCTGTGGGGAACTGAGTCATTCTGTGAGTTTTAGGGGGATTTTCCTGTTAAAGCTCCTGGCTTTCCTGCGCCCAGCTTTACTCAGTGACGCAACATTTCGAATGTTTGTCAGGCACAGGTTATGCTCTGACGCTTGCTGGCTTAGATCACTTCCTCCGTTGGGTTCTTTTGCTGATGTGTGGGAGTTCTTTGTAAATTAAGAATCTGCTATTGTACCCCACAAGATGATTTTTTTCTTGAGACAGGGTCTCACTTTGTAATGTAGGCTGGGCTTGAGCTCCGTCTGTAGCCCAGGCTGGCCTCAGACTCACAGCAATCCTCCCACCTCAGCCTTCCCAGGGTTAGGGTTAGAGGAAAGGGCCAGCACACGCAGTGAAATATTTAAAACACATTTCTTATTAGTCCCCATTTGCAGTACCAGTGCTTAGATTCGCTAGGGAAGTTAGAAGCCGCGTAGTGCATCTTAGTAACATATCTCAGTCCAATTCATCACTCCCCCTTCCTCTGTCTGCGGCCTCCCTCCCCGTTTGGGTCCCCTTCCCTTTTTCAAAAGATCTATCTCCCTTTTTCCTATTATCTGTCTTTCACTTTGCTTTTTAATTTATTTGTATTTTGGATATCTCAGAAAAGAAATTCTGTGATATTTTAAGCTATTGTGTCTGATTTATTTCATTTAACATTATGATCCCAAGGTACACCTGTTTGCCTGCCACCTCAAGTTTATCCTTCTTTATGGCAGAGTGGCACTCAATTGTGGATTTTATGGTTGTTGTTTTTGAGACACAGTCTCACTATGCAGTTCAGGCAGCCCTTGAGCTCACTTTGTAGTTCAGACTGGCCTTGAGCCAGCAATGCTCCTGCCTCGGCCTCCTGAGTACTGGAATTACAGGCAAGAGCCACCAGGCCCATTCCGTTGTGTTTAAATGTCATGGTTTCTTCATTCTTCTGTTGACAAACCTAAAAGCCACTCCAAGATTTTGATATGAGGAGTCCTGCTGCTGTAATCCTGGGATGCATGGGTCACCGTAATACAATGTTTGCAGCTCTTTCAGGAAGATACCTGGAGGGGAATATCTTGATTAAATAGAATTTTTAATTTTAGTTTTGTGAGAATTCTCCCTACTGACTTCGGTAGTGGATATGCTAGTTTATATTCTCACCACGGTGTAGGAGGTCTCCTTCAGCCCCACAGCCCCTCCAGCATTTGTTACTATTTGATTACCTGGTGATAACCATTCTTTCTGGAACAAGATGGGATCTTGGTGGCCTTAACTTGCATTTCCCTAAGAGACACTGAACACTTTTTTTTTTTAGTCGGTACCGGGAATCGAACTCACAACAGCCTGCTCACAAGGCAGGTGCTTTAGCCGCTGAGCTAAATCCCCAGCCCCGAGACACTGAACACTTTTAAGTATTTGCCATTTGTACTTCTTCTCCTAAGAAGTATCTATTCATTTAATGATCCTTTTCCTTTTATTTTTGGTGGGGCAATTTAGAAATATTTTTTCTTGACAGGATTTTTTATTTTTTAATTTAATTTAATTTTTTTATTACTACCCTATTTTTGATTGGACCTTTTGTTTCGGCAGGATCTGACTTTGAGTTCTTTATAAAGTCTAGATATAGTCCTTTGTCTGAGAAATAGCTGGCAAAAATTTTTCCCATTCTATAGGTTGGCTCTTCCTTCTATTGGCTGTTTCCTTTGCTGTGCAGAAGCTGTTTGTTTGTTTGTTTGTTTGTTTGTTTGTTTGAGACAGGCTATCTAGTTCAGGCTGGGCTTGAACTCACTACATAGCCTCAAATTTGCAGTGATCCTCCAGCCTCAACCTCCTGAGTGCTGGGATTACAGGCATTTAATTTAATATGCTCCCATGTGTTGATTCTTGATGTTATTTCTTGTGCAACTGAGGTTCTGCCCGAAAGTCTTTGCCTAGACCTATACCTTCAAGAGCTTTTTCTTCCAGCATACAAAATGCTCTAATATTTAGATCTTTGATCCATTTTGATTTAGATCTGGTGCATGCTGGGAGACATGGGTCTAGGTTCAGTCTTCGACATGTGGATGGCCAGTTCTCTGAGCACAGTCGGGTGGAGAGGCTGTCTCTGCCATGTGTGGTTTGGGCCCCGTTGTCCCCACAGGAGGATTTAGTACACCATAAATGTTCTCTGGCCATCTGGTTGAATTAATTACTTCATGTGACTTTATCTGATTTTCCCAAAGTAATCACCACTGTGTTTCCGCAGGTTACTCTGATCAGTCAGGGTGTCCCTACTGGGCTGCCCGATGCATGACATGCATGAGGAAGCTTGCTTTGGAGCAGCCCTGAGACTGAACCTGCAGCAGTTATGTCAGGTGAGAGGGCCTCCCAGGCTTGTTAGCATTTATGAGGGCCCAGGGAATCTTTCTAACACTGAAAAAGAACAAAAGATTCACTTTGTCCCATAGCTTGGTCTCATAATTCAAAAATTCACATGCAAATTATAGAATTTTTCAGCACAGTAGGGAACCATCTGATAGGATTTTGGCGTGGCTGAAAAGATAAGAAGTATGAAATATAAATGACCTTTATTTTAAGAATGTGGGGAGAGACCCCCCCACCCTCCGGGGTCTGGCATTGTCTCCGGGGGGCTGGCATTCTCTCCGCCAGACACGTGGTGTGGGGGCACACATGTAGCTTAGGTTTGGGGTGGTGCCTAAGGGGCATTAGTGTGCACAGGTAGCCCACTGATATTCATTTCGCACCACAGGTAAATTCCTAGGGGCGGGGAAGATGACCTCAAGATAGAGCCTCTTGGTTCCACCTCCAAAGCTTTACCAGCTACAGTGTCCCAACTGGGGCAAAATCCTTTCAGCAATGATAGATTTTCAAAATAAAAACTAAATCCAGAGGTGATTCATTGAGAAATTGGAAAGTATCCTCTTCACACTTCTTTTGAACAGTTCTGGTTTTCATGTCCTCTTCCTGGGAGAATGACCAGGTGGGACTGTCCACATATCCCACAAATCCCCTGCTGGCCACCCCGGGATGTGGGAGGGCTGTGAGGCTCCCACTAACAGTGAGATTCTGGTTTTTACCCTTTCCCTTCTCCTAGGCCTGTCCCTGTGTCACCTGTAGGAAGGAGGTGGAATGAGGGCTGTGGCCAACCCCTCAAGGACCTCAGCAGTGGGGTGTGGTGCCCAGTGAAGGCTGTGTGGTCTGAGCAGGTGGCATGGGCCACACCCCCACCCAGAACCCTGCAATGAATACTGGAGGTAAGGAGGGGACCAGAGTCGCTCTGTGGAGCACATGGACACCACTGGGCCTTGAAGGTCCTCTGCTTGGATCAGAGCCAGCTGACCATGGATGGGAAGCTGACTATAGGAGCCACTTTAACCTGCGGGTGTTAGAGACTGTGTTTTAGCAATGGGACACATGTCATGGTGACGAGGAGGCTGGAGGATCCTGAAATGAGTGAAATAAGCCAGGCACAAAAAGAGACACCAGATGGTCACTCACATGGGGCTCTGGGGATTCAGATCCACAGGCAGGAGGACGAATGGGGGTGAGGGGTCCAGGGAGGGGACAGGAGCTAGTGCTGCTGAAGACAGACGTTTGGCCTTGCAGGCTGAGGAGTCTGGAGATGGGTGACTGGAACCATTGCATGTCCCTGTGAGTGTGCTTGGTGCTCCAGATCTGCACGCCTGGAAACAGGATAAACACTTCGTGTTCATTCTTCTAGAGAAAAGTGAGAGAAACCAAGCGAGTGGCCTGGAGGGGAATCGGACCCATCACTCCTGGACAGGTTTTCTGGTTCCTTCATGTGGCACCTTCTGCAGAGATGCAGAGCAGCAGTTTCTCTGCTGATGTCTGGTTTGTTCAATTCTGCTAAAGGGGCCAGTCACTGCCAGCATGGGTGGTGAGACTCCAGGGTGCTGGCCAGGCCCTGGAAGGCCATGCCAGCCTGTGGGATGCATAGTGTTTCCCTAGCTAGCTGAATGTCCATGTGGAGAGGCCATGTGGGTAACAGACCCTGAATCCAAGAGGTCCAGGGACAGCATTATCTGAGGCCATGAGACGGTGGTGTCTCCAAGACCCTGCAGCCTGCTTCAGGGCATGAATAGTGGTCACTGTGTCAGAAGAGGTGGTTGAGGGCTATAGCTCTGAGCTTCCCAGCAGCCCTGGGCAAAGTGAGAAAGACATGGTTCTGTGAGGTCTCTTGGGTCCTGAGGCCTCAGACCCTAGATTCCAAGGGTGTCTTTGCTGAATGTTATACATTATGCTCCATAGTAGAACATTGGCCTAGCATGTGTTCCCCAGCACCTCAAAAACAAGCAAGCAGAAGAAAACAATCATAATGGACTGAAAATGAAGAACAGAATATTGTTTTTGTTTTTGGCACAGGGAATTGAACTCAGGACCTTGCACTTGCCAGGCAGGTGCTGTGTGAAAAATAGAATTTTAAAGGCTGGATGTCTGTATCCCCCATGAGTATGTTGAGGCTGGAAGAGTGGCCTTGGGAGCAGATAGGATTAGCACCCACAGAAAGAGTCCCCAGAGAGCTGCCTATAGCCTTCCCGGCCAGAGGACACAGTGAGATGCCTCTGCCATGGGCAGGAAATGGTTCTCACCTGACATGGGCTCTGCCAGCCTGGTACTTGGACTGCTGACCTCTAGAGCAGAGAGAAACACTTGCGTTTCTTATAAGCAGCCTGAAGGGACGGAGACATAGAGGAATCAGTCATAGAGCAAACAGGCCAGAGGATGGCCCAGCCATTGAGGAAATCTCAGGGCACCATCTCCCCGCTGGGTGGAAACCTCAGCACCCCTGAGCTGCACATGTGCAAGGGATTATGGTATTGGGGGTTTTTCCTCACAATCAGAGCAGAAGACACACAGAAGATACAATGAAACCAAGGGACATTAATAACCTGGAGTGCAGGGTCCTGTGCAGCAAGAGGCATGAGGCTGGGACAGCTTCGGAGGGCTCTGAACATGTGTTTCCATCTCCAGGGTCGTCTCTAGGCGATAAAAGGGAGGAAGAATAAATCCCAAGCCGTTGAGGGACTGCAAGGTGAATCAGCCAGGGCTGCCGAGTGGGGCAGGGAGGACCACAGACCAGCTGTCCTCAGTGGGGGAGGTTGGCATCACCCAGGAGTCTGTGGTGTGGATGCCTCAGGTGGCAGGGGAACCTGCTCTGCCCCTCCCCTCCTGTGTAGATTGGTCCCAATTTCCCCTTGTGTAAGGACCCGTGTCACCACCCCCAGACCTCACTGTTGGGGAACCACTAGTAAAAGCTCCTCTTCCAAGTCAGTTCGCCCTCTGAAGAAGGGTGGGCAGGACCCCAGTGTCTCTTTTCAGCCTATAACAGACAGAAAACAGAAAGGGAACACAAGAAGTGGAAATCCAACCCACAAGCCTGGAATTCGGAGGCTGAAGCAAGAGGCCTGAAAGTTCAAGTCCAGCCTGGGCAACTCAGTGACTTTAGTGATAACCTATTTCAAAATAAAAAATAAATAAAAGAACTGGGGACCTGAAGGCCCTGGATTCCATCCGGTGTGTGGGGTACTCGCAAAGTAACAACAAAAAGGGTTCAAATGAATTGAAAGTGAAAAAATAGAAAAAAATATGCCAAATAATAGTAAAGTTAACTGATTATTATTAGCGAAAAGAAACTTTTCCCTAGAAACATGATAGGATGGGGGCTGGGGATTTAGCTCAGCGGTGTAAGTGCCTGCCTGGCAGGTGCGAGGTCGTGAGTTCCATGCCTGGTACCAAAAAAAAAAAAAAAAAAAAAAAAAGAAAAACAAACATGATAGGAAATGGCATCTGTTCCCCAAGGTGACGACAGCGAATAACTATAGCCTTCAGTAGCACCGATGTGAACTTGTCCCTCAGCCACCTGAAGTCAGGACTGGGATGGGGACCAGGACTGGGCCAGCCAGGCCTGAGCCAAGGAACGAGCACAGGTGGGAAACAGGCTCGAGGAGGCGAGGGCAGACAGCCACACCGTCTATGCTGTGCAGCATAGACGTATACGTATACGTAGGGACAGTGTCACTTAAGTCCTTGGGCTGCATGGCCTGGGTAGAGGAAGTCTGGCAGGCAGAGATGCCCCTAAGTCCTCTGCTCTGGCCCCAGCTTGACCCTTGGGATGAGATAGGGACTTCAAGCTATGTCCAGGATTGACCGCAGGCTGCTTCAGGTCCAGGAAAGTCAGACCTGAGCCCAAAGTAGATGCTGGGGCAATGTGGAACCCTTGTGCTCACCATGCTGTGCTCCTGACGGGTACCAGGGACCTGTTCCTCCCCTAGGACTCCCATCCTCTCTTTCTTTTGTCCCTCAGGAAACACTACCCTGGTGACGGCCCGGGACCCCGCCGGGGAGTTCTGCAATGCGTCCTTCAGTGACAGCAAGGTAACACTGCTGGTGGTGTACAGCGCGGTGTGTGCACTGGGGCTGCCTGCCAACTGCCTGACGGCCTGTCTGACGCTGCTGCAGGCCCTGCAGGGCAATGTGCTGGCCGTCTACCTGTTCTGCCTGGCGTTCTGTGAGCTGCTCTACATCAGCACGCTGCCACTCTGGATCATCTACATCAGGAACCAGCACCAATGGACCCTGGGCCTGTATGCCTGCAGGGCGACTGCCTACATCTTCTTCTGCAACATCTACATCAGCATCCTCCTGCTCTGCTGCATCTCCTGCGACCGCTTCGCAGCTGTGGTGTACCCGCTGGAAAGCCGGGGCCACCGCCAGCAGAAGACGGCTGTGCTGATCTCCGCCAGCATCACCGTCCTAGTTGCGCTTGTGTACTGCCAGGTGTTCCGCATGGATCTCGTGAATGGTACCTGCTTCGAGCCTCTGTCGATGGACAGCCGCATCGCCAGCTACCACTACGCGCGCTTCACGGTGGGCTTTGCGCTTCCGCTCTGCATCATCGCCTTCACCAACCACCGCATCTTCCGCAGCACTGCGCTGAGCCAGGGCCTGACCGCAGTGCAGAAGGCCAAGGTGAAGCACACTGCAATCGCAGTCGTTGTCATCTTCCTGGTCTGCTTTGCCCCCTACCACGTGGTGCTGCTTGTCAAAGCTGTGGCCTTCTCCTACTACAGAGGGGACAAGAACGCTGTGTGTGCCTTCGAAGCCAGAATGTACACACCCTCTGTGGTATTTCTGTGCCTGTCCACGGTTAACAGTGTGGCTGACCCTATCATCTATGTGCTGGCCACAGACCATTCCCAGCAGGAAGTGACCAGACTCCACCGGGGCTGGAAAAAGTGGTCCACGAAGATGGAGGACACCAGGCTCACACAGTGGAAGGATTCAGAGGAGACACAGTCGCCCATGGCGCTCTCCCGTAGTCACACGTTCCCCACACCCAGCACCCCCACAGGGCCACAGCCCACCGAGTGGGGCTCCCTGTGTACCCTGGAAATCCCAACCGAGGGCCTCTGACAGGCAGGGACCCCCCCCCTTGATCTGCCAACATGTTCTGACTAGCTTCCTTGGCTGGCACCCGTCTGCCTTGGGCCACCAGCAGAGCTCAGTTAATGACGTCACTTTCTGTGCCTTTGGCAGGAGTTTCTGGGTGACTGTTATGTGTCCTGGGGCTTCTGTGATTCTTCCTCAGAGAGAGGCAGGGTCATGGGCACTGTCCCCATGCCTGGGCACTGTGGCCCTGCCAGGAGCTATGAGTGGGAAGGAAGGGGGCTGCTCCCACCCCTGCAGGGTGTGATGGGCTGCAGCTGCCCAGAGGCAGGGGAACGCAGAGCCACCCCAACATCTGCTTCACTGCTGCAGGAACCTGGGCTGGGTCTCGGGACAGACAGTGCAACTTAGAAGCAAGCAGGTGACTGCATGCTCAGCCCCCAGCCCTCACCAAGGGTAGGCAAGAGGGAGGCCTCTTGGCCCAGCGTCAGATCCAGGCCTAGCCCCAGTGAGCCTTATCTAGGTTAGGTCAGCTGGGTGCCTCTGTCTCCCCATCTGGAAAATGGGGTCCACCAGTCCTCTGCCAGGTGCTCCTCCCGGCTGGCTGGAGGGCCTGGCCCTGCCCAGAGTGAGACCTGGGGAAGCTGAGTTGAGCCTCAGGTCTGTAAGGCAGCTCTGTGGCCTGCTGCTCTTCATAGTAAGAGATGTCAACAAATGTATATTGGGAAAGTGTGTTCAAAGATAAAAGCAAAGTATGCATGTGCCTCGCTTTCCTGTACAGCATAGTACTACAGTCTTGGTTCACAGGGAGATGCTTTCCTAGGGTGCTAGGGGCCTTGCCTGGAAGGGGAGTAGGAGCTGTGGGTCTCACTGCACTGTCTGGACTGTTTGGGATTGGGAAGAGCGAGGGGCAGGCCGGGGATTTCCTGTTTCACAGGGTAGACACCCTGGGGCTCTTATGACCAATGTCACAATCTGGTCATTGGTGATAAAGTACCCTCCCCTCCGCCACATTCCTGAGGCCTGAAGCCCCAGACAAGGGTGGGCAGGACTAGCCCCAGGGCTCAGGACAGGAGTCTCCAGCTTCTCCCTGCTCAGTGGACCAGGTCCTCTGTGGCTTGGGGACACTGGGCCTTATACAGGCCTTTCTCTTCTGTCTCAAGGCCACATGCTGTGCCCAGTGGTCCCGTGGTCCAGGGATGGGGACACTGCTGATGGGAGGGGCTTCATGCATGGTGTGACTGGGTTGATGTTGATTTAGCGTGGTCCCCAGAGGGCAGGTGCAGCTGGAGGTGAGGACCCAGAGCCTTCCACCGGGCGAAGACACACAGGCCCAGGGTGCCACGCAGCCTCTTGCATCCAGTGCTGGGAGGCAGAGGTGGAGAACTGACCTGGGGCCAGTGCCCCCTGACAGCCCAAGAATGAAGGTCTGCTTGTAGCCTGAGGGTCCTCACGTGGCCTGAGCCACCACTAGATCTCCCCTTGTTCCTGGCATCTCCCAGCGGGAAGGACTGTGTGACCAGGAGATCCTGTGGGTCCTCGTCCCTTGGGGCCTGCTCCTTCCCTCCATAAACATGAGGACCAGAAACTGCATGGGTGGGGGTGAGGGCTGTATATAGGGAACCTAACATTTATTTCATTTAAAGTAAGAACCACCTGTTCTTGTGAAGAGAACAGAAAGGATTCCAGAAAATATCTGTGCAGCTGAGAGAGACTTGGCGGTCAGGAACCAGACAGAGGAAAACCCAAGGAAACCCCAAGACTGTTCTCTGGAGCAGAGTGGACCTGGGGTTCCCTAGCTTGAGGGCGCCACCCTGTGTCTTCTCCAGGGATGTCTGGTGCAGGCCTGTGGTGATCCAACCACTGGGACACTTCAGGCAGAGACTGTGCGAATTCCACTTGTTGACGTCTGGCTGCCACAGGGTGGCAGTACCGCCCTTTCCTCTCGCACTGGGCTCTGCCCTGGTCACGCAGGCTTTGGTTTCAGGTGCAGGGCTACAAGCACACTCAGCTTCAGAGAGGCAAGAAGAGTCACCAGGCCGAAGGAAGGAAGGGGTTACAATGAAGGTGGCTGTGAGGCTCAGCAGGGCCACCTGGGGCTCCTCCCGCGGGAGCCTTGGGACTCAGGAGTGAAGATGTGCGGCCCATGAAATTAGAAATTAGAAAACTGACACTCAGGGAGACCCAGGGGAACGGGATGGCACTGTAGGGTTCTTGAGCCCTGTACAGATCCACAGCTGGCAGGAAGGTCATGCTCAACAGAGTGAGTGGGAGTGGGGCCGCCTCCAGGACAGGACCATGCAGGATCCCAGGCGAGACTCCAGCGCAGGTGCTGCGGGGCGAGGGCCTGTGGTGTTCCAGTGTGGCTGCCTTTGTCCTGCCTTGCTGGCCACACTGCTCCCTTCCCGCAGTGGTGATCAAGGCACAGCTTTATCATCGGCCCTGACTGCTATAACCTATATATATAAAAAAAACCCTCATAAGTCTCTTCGGAGGCAAGAAAAAGATCAAAAGTAACTCTAAGAGCAGAACAGGATGTCTTCTTAATCTAAACTTGCTTGTTTGCAGGGAAACTTGCTTGTTTGCAGGGAAACTTGCTTGTTTGCAGGGAAACTTGTTTGCAGGGTAACTTGCTTGTTTGCAGGATGTGCCTTCCCCCAGAGGATGTTTGCCTAATCTAAACTTGCTTGTTAGCCCAACCTTTACCTGAACCCTTACCCTTGCTCTTTCCAAGAAATATAATCCCTGTGTTCCTGTTCTGCAGTGCACCACAAACCCGTCCCCCTCCTTGCATTGTGAGACCAGCAGCTGTTTGCGGTTTTACAAGATAAAAATCCTGCCCTTTAGCTGTTAGGTGCGCAGTCTTCCATATTGGCTACCGGAGGCTGCGTCGCCAGGCCTGGCCTAAAATAAAGCCTTTGCTCCCAACTTCTAAATTTCTTGCTTCCTTGGATTTTATTCTGGGGTCCGAACTTTCACTGACCACAAGCCTGTCATGCTCCGCCCTTCCACCTGCTGTTGTCTGACCCCAGCCGTCTACCTGGCCCCTCCCCGCCCTCCCTTCCTCCCTTTCCTTGCCACCTCTCCTCTCCTTACCGCTTCTTCCTTCCCCTCACTCCTCAGGTGGAAGCCACATGGCCCAGGGAAGTGGGCTGGAGAGTTTTGTTGGGACCCAGGGTTTGCACTCTCTGGAGGACCACGTCCCCCTGCCAGGATGAAAGGTGCCATGCTGACGGTGTGTGCAGAGGGGGCGCTCACTGAGTGCCGCTCATAGGCAGAGCTGGACCCAGCAGGTTGGTTCCACAGAGGGGAAACAGCCTGGCTGCCTGGTTATCGCCTATGTTTGAGGCCCACAGTGGGGCTTGGAATAAAGCAGAATGGTGATGTCAGCTTCCTCACAGGAGGACTGTGAGCAGATGTAGGGGTATTAAGAAAAAGTCTCTCTGTCCCCAGCAGTAGCCCTGGGGCCACTGGTAGGCTTTAGCTTTTGTGTGGAATAGGCCCTGTGGCTGCCAGGGGTCCCAGCCCTGCAGCAGCCAGAGGTGGAGGATCCACGGGGACCCTGGTCCCTCTCCTCCAGTGGCGCAGCCCTCCGGACCCTCCCTGGACACTTCTTGCTTGTGGGTACTGCACTGCTCTGTGCATGTGCACATTTGGGGACTATTTAAAATGTATTGTTAACTGACACATCACAGTTGCACATATGTGTGGGATAGGCTGTGAGAACTGGATGCATTCTGCTTGGAGCCTCTGAGTGCCTCACTGACTCTGCACAGAATATGTAGGTGGTTTCTGTGGACCCACGACACCGACTGTGCTGCAGAACACAGCCCTCTCCTCCCATCTGCCTGCACTTCCGTCCCGGCTCCCAGCCTCCCTTCTCCCACCCCTCCTGGCTCACCCTCCCTACTCAGGTCTCTACTTCTACAAGTTCAGAGATGCTTTTGTCCTAGAATATTTCCCATTTACAGAGAAGTGGTGAACAGCACAGCGAGGTCCTGGGTATTCCCTTCCCCTCCCCACTGGTGACAGTTTACTACCGGAGATTCACTGTCTCTTCCTCAATTAACTTTCTTCTTGCTCCTTGGAGGAGAAACTGTAGACTTAAGTGCCTAGGATTCATACACCTCATACACTGTGCAAGCAAATGGATTGTCAGGAAGCTGCCACAGAACCATGGTCTGTTGGAGGCCTGCCGCTGTCCCGTCTCAGTGACATCTTTCCTGGGTCTCTGTACAGCATTCCTCCTCATACTGGCTTTGTTAGTTTTCTAACAAAGGGCAGAGCAGAACCCTCATGGCCCTGGCACCACTTTCCAGAAGCCCTGGCTATGCACACAACAGCTGCTCTCCGTCCATTCTGGTCCAAGGCCCCGGGAGCAGGTGGGGGCCAGGCTGGCAGCTGTGTGGTCATGCAGTATCTTGCCCACTAGACCATGGTTATGCTGGAGGAAGGGCTGTCATGGCATCTTTGGCGTACCTGTGTCTGCCACCAGGACTGGACCATGCGTAGGTGAGGGCTTCCATGCCCTGGACGAGCTGGCACCAGCAGGAAGGTTCCTGGGGCTCTTAAGAAACCAGATAGGAAATGTGAGGCCAGCATCTGGGGACCAGGGTCCATCCAAGCATCGAACAAGGCCTACGATGGGAGCCCCACAGAGGAGCCAGGGCTGAGTTCTGTTCCCCACAGCTACGGACGGGGACAGGGCTGGGAGCCTGGAGATGAAAGGCCAGACCTGCACCTGGGAGACTGGAGATGAGAGGCCAGAGCCTGCACCTGGCCACAGGGCTGCCGGCCCCTCAGCCCTGCCCTGGGTAGGCACAGTGAATAGAAGAGCCAGCCTCTTGCCCCAAAGTCAAGAGAGTCATGCACATGGGCTGGGCCCTGTGAGGCTGAGAAACCAAGTGCCTTTGCTTTCTTTTGGAGATGAATCTTGCTGTGTTGCTCAGGCTAGCCCTGTGTACCTGGCCCCAAGCAGTTTTCCTGCTCAGCCTATAAGCAGCCAGAACTACAAGTATGTGCCACTGTGTCTGGCACACTTTCCTCTATGGAGGATGCGACTCATCCAGATGTGGTGGTGCATGCCTGTAACTCCAGCATTTGGAGGATTGAGGCAGAATAATTGGGAGTTTAAGGCCAGCTTGCTACCTGGTGAGAAGAGATAGTAGGAGGGAGGGATGTAGAGACAGAGCCGGACCCCGTGAGAGACAGAAGGGGTCTAGAAATCGGGTTGTCTCAGAGGCTTTCTCCAAGGGTATTTTATACAGCAGAATCAGGATGCGCTTTGAGGGTATGCCTCAAACTACAATCAATCAGTAGGATTACAAGTAGCTAATATTATTGATCCAATAGGGAAATGAGGCCCACAGCAATGTACATGGCGAGCATCACTAAGTTTAGGACAAAGGTTTTCCTGGAAAGGGATGAGTATGTGTCTGGATGTTGTGGCCACCCACCTGGGCGTCTGATGCCCTAGCTGGGCCACTGGAGCGGTGGTGCTAATCACAGCACAATCTCAAGCTGCTCTAGCTCTGGGGAGGCTTGTGTCTAGCTACTGTGCCTCTACCATGAAGCCCCAGGCCAGCTTTCTTTGGATCTGCCTCCAGGCACAACTGTGATCTGTCTCATCCCCCCACACTGACTATGGGTGGGGAGTTCCCATTAATTTCTGACAGGTTCAGCTGCCTAGAACACTGCCTTGTGCTTTTTCTAAGGGCTTATCAGACAGAGGTCTAATTTCTGACTCTTAGCCAGTATCTTTTATTATTTTTTTCTGAGGCAGGGTCCTGGTATGCAGTTTATGCTGGCTTTAAACTCGCTATGTATCCCAGGCTGGCCTCAAACTCAGGGCAATCATACTGCCTCAGCCTCTTGATTTCTGGGATTACAGGCATGTACCATTATATGTGGCCAGATTTGTTACTTTTATATAAGAAACATAACTGATTGTCCTGTAGTACTGTGTATCTGAGGACCATGCCAATTCATTAATTTGAAACATCTACCTAGAAATTCTTGAGGGTCTCCTGCAATCAGATCTTATCTTCTGAGATTGGTGATGCTTTCAGTAGTTTCTTTTCCAGTTCTTACGATTTTTCTTTCTTACCTTCTTGCACCAGCCATGCTTGCACAATGCTGCATGGTGCAGTGATATGGGTCTCTTGGTCTCTTTCTTCCTCCTATTTTCACCATTTCTCCACTCATTATTTCCTCTTGGCTTTTGTAAGCACACTATTCAGGTGAAGGGAATCCCTTGTGTAGTAAAGAATATAACTTTGCTGGAGGAGAGGCTGGGTTATTTGCCCTCAGGTTCTAGGAGGTGTCTAATCCAAGTGCCTCAGCCTGGGAGCCACACTAGACTGCTCCATAAGGTGTTGGGGGGGGTGGCACTGGGCAACTGGGCCATGCACCCTCAGCCCGACCTCTAGAAGGGCTAGACTACAGCTAGTCTGCAGTCTCCTTTGCTGAGACTCTACCAGAAAAGGATCACTGGAAGCTCACTGGGGTGTCCTAGGTCCTACCCCTTGTGCCTCTGCCTTGGCTGACTTGTTTTTGTTGAGATGGGTCTCACTACCTAGCCCAGGCTGGCTTCCACTTGAGGTGATCCTCCTGCCTCAGCCTTCTTGGTGCTGGAATTACAGGCATGTGCTGCCATGTCCAGCAGGTTGAACTTTTATCAGCTGTGTTTTCTACACTTACTGAGATTCCCATTTTTCCTACTGTAACGAAGTGTGCTGATTTTGGAATGCTAAAGAAAGTTGACATTCCTGGAGGAAGCCCAACTTGATTGCAAGAGAGCTCTTCTACACTACCTCAGGTCTAACTGATCATTGGTTTGCAATCCTGAAGCACTGTATGCTCAGAAGAAAACAGCCTGTAGATTTTACCCTTTCCATGCTTCAGTATCAAGGTTATGCTGTGTCTAAACTGGAAAATTTTCCAGACTTGTGACTCAGGCATGGCATGCACTTGAGCACCATAGTACTCTGGGTTTAAAAAAATCGTGAGATGGACGCTATTTATTCAATTTGTCTGTTCCACATATTCGATCACCAATTGCCATATCAGTAACCCATGGGTCCATCTCTATTATACAGAGCTTTCTTGTTTGTCTGCCTCCTTTTGAGGCATGTTCTGGCACTCCTGTTAATTACAGTACTGAATGCTGGACACACTGCCTGGTGAAACACAGTGGAAGGCATCTTAATTAAAATTTTTGCTATCAACCTGGCAGGTGAAAAGCAGCATCTGACAAAGGTCTAATGTGTGACCCACTCTTTGCAGGCTGAGCACCCAGTCATCAGTTGAAGGGTGTGTGAATTTCCTTTGCTCACTTTTGAATCTTGTTTTAATGTGCAGGGCTCTGTGTTACAGAATTAGATCCATGGGAGCCATGTCTAGAAAACGTTTCTTTCCCGTGTTTTCACCTGATGTTTCACAGGCATGCTTTTAGTCGAGTTATACTTACCAGCCTCAATAGCTTTTGTGTGAAGTATCCAACAATCTAAATTGACTTTTCTGTCTATTCCCCAACCTCTGTATTGGGGATGGAACCCAGGGCCTTCAAATGCGTTACATCCCCAATTCTTTCCTTATTTTGAGACACAGTCTCACTAAGTCTCTGGCTGTCCAGGGTTGGGTAAAACGTGCTGTCTCCTGCCTTGGCCTCCCTAGTGCTGGGATTAACAGGCATGTGGCACCTTCCTCCCTGCCTACTCTGTCCCTCAAGCCTTGCCAACAGCGACTCTTTGCAGGCCTAATTCAGAGCAATCCCGCAGGGGTCTCCCCTCAGGCTCCGCGGAGAGCCACGTCCCTCCCGCACGCGAACTCCCTGGAGAGGCGAGCTCCTCCCAGCCAGCGCCGCACGGCCGAAGCCGAAGGAGATCCGACAGCGGCGCTTCGCCGCGCAGGCCAGGCTGGCGCTCCATCACTCTCTTCACGCTCCGCTCCTTCCTTCCCGAGCCAACCTAGCAACAGTGACGCTACCCTCGGCCAGGACGCTCTCCGGGAGGGCGGGACAGGCCAATGAGCCGCGAGGAGGGGCCTGGCGCGAGGAGGGACCCGGCGCGAAGAGACCTGGGAGTTGGGAACCCAAACGCGCGCTACGGAGATCTGGGAAGGGTGGGGCGAGGCCGGGCGCAAAGATACCTGGGAGGCGGCAGTGCTGGGCGGGGCGGCGCAAAGCAACCTGGGAGCCAACGGGGCGGGGCTGGGCGGGGCGGGGCCCCGCGCAGAGAGATGTGGAAGTGCTGGAGGCCAACGGCCCGCGCCGACGCGCGGGAACGCTGGTGGCCGAGGCCCCTCCCCGTCGGGTTTGAACCGAGCCCCGCCCCGCGTTCGGCCAATCGGCAGCCGGGTGGCTGCGCCGAGGCGGCTCTTTGTAGGTGCCCACCGGCTCGCGGGCGCTGAGCGGCGCGGTGGGACGGCCTCGCGGCGCAGGTGAGCAGCAGCGCGGGGCGGGGACCGGTGGGGGCAGCAGGGCTCCCCATGACGGGACTGCGGGGGCGGCTTCCGCAGCGGGCGGGCGGGCTGGACCGACGCCTTTTTGTCGGTCCTCTGCCTGTCTGTCCGGCGCTGACCCCCGACGTCTGAGCGCGCCGCCAGCCTGGTGAGTGCGGCTCGGGTTCTGTCCTTTGTTTCCTGGCCTCACTTCCTTGCAGAGGCGCGCCAAGCACGCTTGGTGGTCCACCTTCTGTCCTAAACTCCTTCCTGGCCTGTTGGAGCTCTCTCCGGCCGCAGGGACGGGAACCTGGGTCCCCCTACTGGTGCATCCTGGTGGGGTTCTCCAGAGCTCCTCTCCCCCAACATGGGTCCCCAGGAAAAGGCTGCCAGAGCACGCGTGGCGATGCCTTGGTCCAGACAGCGCCAGTATTTCCCTCCCGGGGCCTTTGTGTCTGGCGTTCTAGAGCGCAGAGTTGAGGTAACAGTTCTTGCAGATCAGCTGGAGGGAGAACTGCCCTCCCCTCCCTCCGGGCTGGGTTTACAGCTGAGGTCCGTCCTTATTTGTGAAAGGTCATTTTGTTTTAAGTTAGAGCGAAATTCGGGTAGAGTCAACTGGCCTTTCTCGGTGCTGTCTTGGAAAGGGGCCAGAAGTTTCCCTCAAGTTGCTGCTGGCAAACGATCCTTAAGAAGGTCAGAAGTAGCTGGAGTCAACCTTTTGATAAGGGACTATGGAAGATTTTAAGCAAAGGGTGGTGGAGTGATGGATTCTCAAGTCCCTATAGGCTTAGGGATTCCCTTGGATGAGTATTTCAGAGTAACTTCACCATGTGATGGGAACACAAATGGTTAATATTGATTCACTTAAAATCCTAGCACCCATGAGAGTGTCCAGCAATGGCTACCTGCTATGATGGTGACAGGTCAGAGACAAAACTATCCCTCCCAGCCCTGGATTTTTTTTTTTAAGAGAATAAAACAAAAGAATGAAACGAAACAAAACAGAACAATGAGAAGATCTTGGATTTAAAGAACAAGACGGTAGGAAATCAACAATGGTTACTGTATTGCATACTGTTAGCCTCTTTAGTTGCTCGGCCAGATGAGGTGGTGCACACCTGTAATCCCAGCACTCAGGAGGCAGAGGCAGGAGGATCATTGAGAGTTCAAGACCAGCCTGGGCCACAAAGTGAGCTCAAGGCTAGCCCGAACAGTATGAGACCCTGTCTCAAAAGAAAAAAGAAAAAAAAAATAGCTGCTCAGACTATCATATATAGGCATGTAAAGTTACTCAAACAATATAAGCACTAAATTGTTTGCTTCAGTTGCTATCATTTCAGAAGTTTAGGTATGTGGCTTCTAATTTCTTTTGTGGCAGTGTCTCCTGAACTTGTTGAGCTGCAGACCTTTTGATCAGAGCGTGGAGACCTGCATGTTCCTCTGGCCACTGAGATGTGTGAATGAACCGCTTGCTGTCAGATAGAAATGCCTTCATCGTGGAGTGCCTGTTGTGTGCAGTCTCTGTCAAACCACAGTTTGCACCCTGCAGGCCTTGCTTACCCCAGGCCTCTCCCATCCCTTGCCATGTTAGAGTCTCTCTACCTACCTGACACCCCTCTTCCAGCCAGTGTTGCAGGACTGTGGGTTGCCTGCTAACTTGGCTGTCCCTTGGACACCAGTTGGTGGGTTTTAGGTACTCAACTTCATGGGAAAGACCTGCCTGTGGGTGGGAAAAAAACAACAGGAAGCCAGACTGCAGCCACAAAGGCATTCTGCCTTTTGTCACCCCAAAACAAAGGGCTCAGCAGCCTCCTAACAAGAATGTGAATGGTCCCAGGCTTGTCCAGCTCAGGCTGGGCCAGCCTAAACGGGTTCTAGTTCCCTACCTGTCCTGGGTCAGGGTTCCATGTCCCTGTCCGTGTGTATGTTCAAACTGTTGGGCAGACACTGATGAGGTGTTTCTGAGCTTGCTGTCTCTGCAGTGATAGAATCCCAGTGCTGCCTACAGGGCAAGGCTGCTGAGGCTGAGCCTCTTCAGATCCCCGGACCATGCTCCTAAGGCTTGCAGCTAACGGCATTCCAGGGTCACCACCTGACACTGGTGTGTGCCGGTGGCCTTCCCTCTCTCATCGGTGCACGCCGGTGGCCTTCTGCCTGTCACTGGCATGCGCTGGTGGCCTTCTGGGAACGGGACGTAGGGGCACCAAAGGCATTATGCTCAGTGTAATTTCTTGAGCTCTCTTCAAGTGTGACGTGCCAGTCCCTGGTCAGTCATACTGGTCTCCCATGGACTAGCCCACCCAGTGAGGGGTCATCATCAGATTTCCAGAGTCACGGAGGGCAGCCAAGGATTCTAGCTGTAATATAGGGCTTAATTCATCCCATTTGAGTGAATGTAGTGAGTGCTACATTAAATCTTGCGTAGTTGAAATTTTGTAGTCAGCTTTTTTTTGTTTGTTTTTTGTACTGGGAATCAAACTCAGTACCTTGTACCAGGCAAGTGCTTTGAAATTTCGGATATGGTTTAAAAGAGATAACCAAAGGTGGAAGAACTTGCCACAGAGGAACTTTTGGGGCTTAGTTCTTTCTGTAGTGTCTAGTGTCTTTCTGTAGTTAGACTTCTTATATTAATTCTCAGTAAACTGAGAAATTTTCACCGGCGACATGATTTTGTTTCTTTTTGAGACAGGATCTTGCTGCGTAGTGCAGGCTGGCCTTGGGTTCACTGTGTAGCCCACACTGGCTTCTAACTCTCAGCAATTCTTCTGCCACTGCCTCTTGGGAGCTGGGATTACAGGTGTGTGCCACCATGCCCAGCCAAGCGAATGATTTTTTTTAAAACCTCTGTAGAAGTTCAATTTGGACCAAGACAAAAAGCTTGAGTACTATATTACTAGAAGCGATCAAAATACTTTTTATGTACTTTTGTGATAAACTCCTTCCATTTTAAAATAGGTGATAGGCCAGGGATTTGGTTTAGTGGCGTAAGCGCCTGCCTGGTGAGCGCAAGGTCCTGAGTTCAATTCCCGGTATCAAAAAGATAATACAATACGAAAATAAAAAATGTGATATTTTAGCTGGTGTGTCTCAAGTAGGGCTATAATGGACAGTAACTCTCACTCGCCATTCTAGGATATTAGACTTGCAGGGGAAATAAACTTTGACTGAATCTGTCTTTTAACTTTTATTTTGAAATAAAGCCCCGTGCTCAGCTGGTGGAGAAATGTCAGAGGCCTTGGGTGTCATCCCTGTAAGGCATGGCAGTCTGGTGTCCACAGATGCAGTTGGTACAGGGGTCAGTGTGGGATTAGGTGAGGTCCAGCACCTGCCCCTCGTCCTCACCTGGCCACCACAGAACTGCCCTGTGAGCAGCATTGCATGGCATGTGGCTCTGGAGACTGCTTTTCCTTCCCCAGCAGGATGGGACTGTTTACAGTTCAGGGCCTTGCAGGTGGAGTGTGGGGGGACATTCTTGTACATGTTTTCACATTTCGGTGGGATAAATGCCCAAGAGGTTACTTCATTAAAGTGTCAGAGTGTTGCATGCACAGGAGGTGAGATCTGCCACACTGATGGGAAATTAGAAGAAAGGTAGACCTTTGTTTCCTGTTCCAGGGTAGGTCAGGTGAGCCCACAGGGTCCTGGGGACATGAGTTGGTGCCAGTTCTCAGTCTGCAGTGTCCCAAGCTCCATCTTGGCTTTTGTGCAGGGATAGTATATGCCCTATACAACAACAGCTCCCCAGAAGTACCTGGTACAGGGAGCCTTTGGATTGAACTTTCTAAAAAGAAACCTGAAGTTTGCACATTTAAAAGAATATTTGTTTAGTGAATTAATTTGTTTATTAGCTTCAGATGAATTATTTGAAATTACCGTGTTTGGCTACATTACCAACATGAGAAGAGAGGACTTTAGTATATCCTCACTTAGCTTTGTGTTCTGGAAGCAGTGCTTGCTGGTGTTCATGCTGGGTGTCAGAACCTGCCAGACCCTGGTCCTAGTCAGCTTTGCAGCTCTGAGGCACAGGCTGTGCCCCAGCAAAGGCTGGTGCTTCCTGCTGCTGCGTTGGGCCTGGGGAGATGTCAGGCGGAAGGTGTGTGGGGAGTGCGGACCCCGTGAGCATGGACTTGCTGGGTGGGCCCTTGTCCCTTTGTGGAGCCGCTGGTGAGGAGGCGCAGCTGCATTCGCTCCAGGCACATTTAGGGGAGGCAGCTTTTCAACGGGCTGCCTGCCATCAGCAGCAGGCTTTCATTAGTAAGCAGCTAAGAGGGAAGGGCCCCAGTATAGGGATAGCTCTGCTGCTGGCTGGGGTGTGGTCCTGCAGATCCTCAGCACTATCCCTTCCCCAGCAATGTGTTTGATGCTCCACTTTGAGGTCCCTCCTCTGTCCTAGACCCAAAGTTGAGATTGTTGGGGTGGAATTTAAATGTAGCTCTTTAAATATATTTCTCCTGCTTCTGTCCATTTATCTGTTGATGGAAGAAGTTGTGCTAAACTTAGAACTTTGTCATCTATGACATGCAGGGGCAGGACTGCCTCAGGATCATGATCGTGAGCACTGGTGTCGCTTCGCTTTCTCTGAGGGCTGGTGGCTGTCCTGGGTTGCTGTCTGTGGGTGGTGCGGAGATGTGCTACATGGATCCTCCTTGGTTTTCACAGGCACAATGTTTGCCCGAGGACTGAAGAGGAAATGTGTTGACCAGGAAGAAGTCGAGGAGGGTGCACTGGCTGGCTTCAGCTCCATCCCTTCCTACAGCCTGCAGCGGCAGTCGCTCCTGGACATGTCCCTAGTCAAGCTCCAGCTCTGCCACATGCTGGTGGAGCCCAACCTCTGCCGTTCGGTCCTCATTGCTAACACTGTCCGGCAAATCCAGGAGGAGATGACCCGGGATGGTGTGGGGCGTGGGACAGCACCCCAGAGCACTGGGCGGGCACCACTCGACCGCCTGGTATCCACAGAGATCCTGTGTCGTACAGTGAGGGGACCAGAGGCTGGGTGCCCTGTTCCCGACCTGGGAGATGGCGCCATACAAGGTCCACTTCCCGAGCTTTACACAGTTGACTCCGCAGAGGTGCCCAGGAGTCCTCAGAGTAGCCTTTGGGAAATGGACAGTCCTCGAGAAAACAGGGGGAGCTTTCAGAAGTCTCTGGATCAGATATTTGAGACCCTGGAGCATAAAAACCCCAGCTCCATGGAGGACTTGTTCTCAGACATGGACAGTTCCTACTATGACCTGGACACCATGCTGACGGGAATGATGAGCAGTTCCAAGCCAGGCCTCTGTGATGGACTAGACAGCTTTGCTGCAGCTGCCCCCTCGCCTGGCTCCAGCTGCAAGTCCGACCTGGGTGAACTGGACCATGTGGTGGAGATCTTGGTGGAGACCTGAGAGGAGGCCCTTGATGGGCCTGGGACAAGGCTGGAGCCCCAGAGAGCTTCTCAGTGTCTTGCACCCCAGAGACTGAGGCGACCTGTTCTGTATAAGGGGTTCTTACAGCCTGCAGCCCGTGGCCTGCCCAGCCCAGCCCAGCTGTCCATGGGGTCTGAGAATGTCCCTGGACAGATGGCCTTCTGCAAAGGTTGCAGCTCCTCAGGCTTGTCCACCCTTTCCAAGGAGGGCAGGACAGAGTCTTGCTGGAGGAAGTGGGAGTGCTCTGAAGTTTCAGCCCTGCCCCAGGCAACAGCTCACAGCCCTGGGTCTGTCCCTTTTGGTATCAGGGTAGATGTAAGGGCCCAAGCTGCATCTGACCTGGTTTAAATTTAGATAGGTGAACTTTTTTAAATTAAGTTTTATATGTTTTGGACACTATTTTGTCTTAAGATGTATTTTTTAAACTTTTATATTTTACCCTTTTAGGTTTTTTCACTATTTTCTTAAAAGTATATTTTTTCTATAAAACATCTTTTGCTGCTACTTTGGAAACTTTTATAACCCAAACAGTTGCAGTTGGTATGTTTTGTTTTTTTTAAGGTTTGAATGGGGGGTTTTTCCTAAATGTTCCTCCATACTCCAAGGGAACACACACCTGTTATGGTCTTCTGCTTGGCTTTACGTGCGACCCTCTACATTGGTCTGTGCTGTTGCAGGGGAGCCAAATTGTGGCACAGCACAGTGGCACCGGGGACCACACACAGCTGCAATGTAATTATTACTAGATCTCTCCAGAGCCACAGTTGCCTAGACCTCAGTGTCAGGAGGGTTTTACTTATGCTTGTTTATGCGAAAATCCCCTGGAATCCAAGCTCCTGTATTTGTGTGGGAGTCACAGACACCAGCTGCTCTCCAGAGACCACAGGTCTCGGGTGCCTTCCATTAGGTCATGTGCAGGGAGGACTCCTTGTGTCCACCTTCTTGCGCTCTAGCCTGGGTCCGCCTGCTCCTTGAAGTGTACACCGCTGATGTCAGGTGCCAGGTACTGCGTATGGAACTGGTGTGTGCCTGTTGGGTTGGAAGATGCCCACTTGTTCTGTTAAATGGTTCTGGAATGACATTTTAAGTTACACTGATGTCTGGGGTGAAAAAAGTCTCTGACCACTCAGTCTTGAGGGACAGTTAGGTGCTGCCTGAGCTAAGCTGGGTTGGCCCTGCCCTCCAGCGCCTGGGGAGGCGCCCAAGTCTGATTCCTCTAGACCTGGACCCACTTGTGTTTCTTGTTTGTCTTACGCTATTTTCTGATTTCCCCTCCTTTGGGCCTACACTATTTGTTGTTTTCTTTTGTGCATATGGCCATTCTTTATTGTCAGTGATGTAAACCTCACTTTATTAAAAATGTCCAACAAACAAAATGGAAATATGCTGTGACTCACCTGCTGTGTCATGATCCTTCAGTATTTCAGACTGTCTTTAGAGTTAACTGCTTTGGAGAGACGGGATGAGTTCCTCTTAGATCCATTAAATAGGCAGGGAATGGATCTCTTATTTTCCTGACCTCACAATTCCGAGGTGAAACTCCCCTTTACTTTGCTCGGCACCTCACCCAGTTGCAGGGGCCTCTGCTCAAGGTTGGGCAGCGTGTAGATTTGCCAGGGCTCAGCAGCACCGCGGCATGAGGCTGCAGGTGAACACTGGTCTGGCCTGGTCCCAGGTGCACAGCCTCTTGCTACTCTGGGAAGTGTTCCTGTGGAAACCAGTTTAAAGGGTGTGCATTTGTATGATAAACCTATAGCAGTTACTTTCTTTACAATTGTCTCTTCAAATATCATTTGTTCTGTTTCAGTACCAGCTATGGTGTCTTTTGGCAGCCTTGACAAGTGTAAGGTATTGGAGGAGACCTGGTGCCTGAGGGCTGCGGGATGCTTGTTAGGCAGAGTAGGCCTGATAGACTTGCCCTTTTGAAGGACTGCGAGTGATCTGCTCTGCGAGGCTTCCTCCAGTGGCGACCGCGCTGTGCTGCTGTGCTGCTGTGCTGCGGTGCGTGTGCTGCTGTGCGTGTGTTGCTGTGCGTGTGCTGCTGTGCGTGTGCTGCTGTGCGTGTGTTGCTGTGCGTGTGCTGCGGTGCGTGTGCTGCGGTGCGTGTGCTGCGGTGCGTGTGCTGAGGAACTACGAGCACTTGGAAGTGGGCCTTGGGGGGGTTGAAGGTTGAACCTTATTTCCTGGGCTCATTTTTGCTTACTGTTCGTTGGAAGGTGCTTCTTTGTTTTTTCTTTTCTCTTTGTTTCTCTCTCTCTCTTTTTTTTTGAGACAGTCTCACCGTGTAGCCCAGGCTGGCCTCCAACTCACAGTGACCCTCGCTCCTCAGTTTCCTGAGTGCTGGGGTTATAGGTGTGTGCCACCAACCTGGCAGGGAAAGTGCTAGTTTCCTCCATGAGCATGGTGGTTGGGCCATTTTTCCATAAATTTCTTGTCATGTTTAATCATAAATGTATGGATTTTTCTTTTTCTTTTTTCTTTCTTTTTTTTTTTTTTTTTTTTTTTTTTTTGTTTTTTGTTTTTTTGTTTTTTTGGAGGCAGGGTCTTGTTATATAGTTCAGGCTGGTCTTGAATTCATTATCTGGCCCAGACTGGTCTTGAATTTATAGAGATTCTCCTGCTTCAGCCTCTCAAGTGCTGGGATTATAGGCATGTACCACTATGCCCAGCTGTAATGTTTAAATGTAGGTACAGATTAACTTTGGTGGAAAACAGATATCCCAAGTGTTTCATACTTTTGTCTGTAAGATAGTAGGGCATTTTATTTAAGTTGTTACTTAACCATGTGACAAGTATCTAGCGGGGACTGTGACCAAGGAGGACTCCCAGGATGTTTTTGCGTGGAGCCTTGCTAGCCATGGAAGTGTGTTTGGAGTTTTAAAAGTTAGGAAGTCATGCACACCTCATTTAAGAAGTGCCACAAAGGAGGTGACAGGATCCACAGGGAAGCGAGGTTTCTGTAGGTCTGGAACTAGTTTCAGGGCTAACTGTTCCTCGGGGCGCTCCTGCTCAGCTCTTGCTGCCCTAGCCCTTCACTCTGGGTGGGTGTCAGCACGCCATGCAGTCCCCAAGGGCAGGCTCGGTGTGCAGTTTGAGGTGGGGTAGCGCTGGCAGCCTGAGGGTATGGCCCCATGAAGCACTGTCGTGAGAGAGTTGGGTAGGCTGGTGGCCAGCACCCAAACCCTGCCTCTGGGTCCTGGCTGGACACACATGTGGCCCATCTCCTGGTCCCATCTAGGGACCTACAGACTGTGAGCATTCTTGGTGTGCATAGAGACGAGGGAACCCTTTCCCCATCACCTCTGTCCTTCCTAGTTTCCACCTGCATTGTGTGTGGTATCCTTTTCAGGATCTGCTGTGAGCTGGCCTGGCCTTTGCGGCACTGTGGTGGGGTCACTCACAGGAAGGACCGTCCTTATTGTGCTTCACACCTGTGTGCTGTGTCCTTGGCGCCTGCTGTGGGTTTCCGGTGGAGACAGAAGCAGCAGGGAGTGGTGCTGTGTGGGTATGTGGGGTTATGGTGGTAACTTTGCTGTGCCACTGTCTGGAGATGTGGCTGCCCTCATGAGACCAGGACTCACTACTGCCAGGGCAGCTTGGGGCTCCCTGCAAGCACCAGTCCTTGGCCCAGCCTGGCCATTATGCCCTGCCCGATAAGTTGTGCACCCCGTGTCCATATATTGCACCCTGCACACTGGCCTGAGTCCACAGAGCCAGCTGACCAGAGATGGGCTAAGCAGCCAGGCCTGGCCTTCTTGGTCCAACTTGGGGAACATGAGGGCTCAGGAAGAACCCTCATGGTTTGATGCCCTGTGCTGACCGAGGTCTGTAGCTATTGAGTGTAGGGACATTGCCCTTAGCACAGATCACGAATGGGGTTCACTGCACCCCAGGCCCCAGAGTTCAGTCTTAGCCATCCTAGCTGTGGTGTGCTCTGGGCTGCACTGCATCTTTTTACTGAGCCCAATGTGTAAGCCACCCCTGCACTGGTCCTTGGAGACCCTCCAGTGCCCCTGCAGGGAGCGCTTGGGTGGTGGTATGGTGGCCATGGTGGGTGGAGCTACCAGGAGGGGAGGCTCAGTGAACTGGAGGGTCAGGGGCAAGACAGCTTTCCGCCCCCTGCTCTGCACCTCCCACTGCCACAGAGGGACCTCTGGCACCTTAGGGCCTGCCAGGGTTCCTTACACGTTGGCTGACAGGATTGTCAGAAATGGCTCATTTTCATGGAGGCTGCTGCAGGTTTTCTGATACATTTAAAGCTGGGAGGCCAGGGCTCTGGGTGAGGAGACTGGCTGTCCAGGGTGGAGCAGCAGATGTGTGCACATGAGTGTATGTGCAGCTGGAGGTCAGGTGATGGCCAGTGGACATTATGGTTGCAATGTTAATGACGAGTCCTTAGTGCCCTGTAGTGCTCCTTGGAGCAGAGGTTCTCCATGGAGACAGTGATGTCTGCACCTGTCGGGATGGTCAGTCTGTCCTGCTGGCAGTTAACCAGAACATGCAAGCACATGCAAGCACAACGGGTACAGCATCTGCCAGGCGCAAGCGCAGCCTTGTCACCCATCACTTGTGCCATGCCCAGTCACCCATGTGACCGCTGTTTATTCCAGGTCTTTTCTTTATTTTTGTTTTTTTGAGACAGGGTCTTACTGTGTAGCTAGCCCAGGCTGGCCTCAAATGCACATTACTTCTCTTGCGTCAGCCTCTCGAGTGCTATATGCCATCATGCCCAGCCATTGTAAGTCTTTTAAAGGAATCCTTTAAGCTCTCTCTATATATATATGATGTAAGTGATGTTTTCAAATATGTGTATATTTTGGGGGACACTAAAATGAGGTGACTTACAAATTCATGACAGTAATCCTTTTTTGTAGTAAGCACACTTAAAATCTACTCTTAGAGATTTTCAGGAGTTTACTGTATTAACCTGTTGGGCGCAGGCGCTCAACATACCATACCCCACCCGGGACTAAGGACCACGCCAGCTTCCGCAATGCGCTGCGTCCCTCTTTAAATTAGCCAACCCATGCGCACTTCGTGCTCACTCCATACTCTGTGGCAACTCCTGATTGGCCACAGCTGGATATAGTAGCCAGAGCCTGCGTCCCATTCCCTCCCTGCTTCCTCGTGGCAGCCTGTGATTGGTCATGGCCAAATATATAAACCAGAGCCCGCGTGAATAAAGCAGCAGTTAACTGTCGCCCACAAGAGCGTCTCCTGTCTCATTGGGGAGCTGCGCCGGTCATTAACCACTCTCAATACCCTCACAGGTGACCTGCAGGTCTCTTGAACTTGTGCCTCTCATTGGAGGCTCTGTGCCTTTGGACTAACTCTCCATTCCCAGGAAATTCCTTCTCTTGGCATCCAAGTTCCAATGTCCAGATTCTCTGTAGAAACAGAACAAAATGTGTCTCTTTCTACTGGGCTAACTCACTCAGCAGGTGACCCCCAGCTCACCCATGTCTGTGATGGCTTCAGTCCTTCCTGGCTGGGTGGGATGCTGTGTGTCTGCACCTCGATCCTCCTCCACTGTGCTGCTGGGATGGGGACCTGCCAATTCCAGGCCTTGGCTGCAGTGAAAGTTCGGTCAACGCACAAAGGCAGGCGTGGGCGCGGGTGCGGGTGGGGCCGCCCTACTGTAGTCCTGTGTCTGTGCGGCAGGCTCCTCCTTGGCAGGTATCAGCCATTAGCCGTCCTAATGTGTGGTGATAGCTCGTGGTGCTTTTAATTGCTGTTCCCTGTGATCAGGATATGGAGCCTCTTTCTCAAGCTGTTTGCATGATTTTTGAAAGTAACTACTCAAGTCTTTTGTTTTTTGATTATTTCCTTGTTATGTACTCCAGTAATGACCCCTCCTTAGCAGATACCCCATGACTCCACATATTCACCCCCACCCCATCTTGTACACAGCTGACCCTCTCCCCCACCCCTCTGTCTTCCTTCCTTTGCTTTGGTGGTCCTGGAGATTGAACCCAGAGCCTCTGCATGAAGCTATATCTCCCACCCTTTTTTAGACAGGATTTACAGAATTGCCCAGGCTGGACTCAAACTTGCCATCCTCCTGCCTCAGCCTTCCAGAGTGCTGAGGATTATAGGCATGCGCCACCATTCCTGTTGCATCTTTTTTTTTTCCCCTCATGCTGTTCCACACGTATCTTCTGGTTGAAAAAAGAAAAGTCAATTTTCCTAAACATCCGCTGTGCACACACAGATCTGAGTTACTGCTTTCTTGTAAGTTTCAAACCATATCCCATGCAGAGCTAGCCATACAGCCCTCGGGGTGGGTGGCCAAGGGCCAGCGGGGTGTGACAGCTACTCCCTTCTCTCTTTGTGACAAGGGACAGCTAAACATCACTGTGCCTGACCAGTGGTGCTGTTATCCAGGTCATTTGATGTGGGATGCTAGCATCTTCTGGAGAAGCTGGTCCCCAGGAGGGTCTCCGTCTAGAACCTCGGAACTCTCCAGTACTGTTTCTCAAACCTCAGGCCTGCCTGGGGACAAGAATTTAGCACCAGTCCCTGTGGAACTAATGAGTCAACAAGGACACACTCTTACCCAGGCCTGTTTATTTAATAAAACTTTACCAAAAAATCAGTGCTATCTACTTGGCTCCACCCTCAGAAGGAAAGAGCTGCCTCAGCAAGTGCCTGGGAAAGCTGTGTGTGCGGCTTCTCAGGCTGGGGTGAAGGTGTGAGAGCTGTGAAGAACAGTACCCCAGGGGTTCCTGAGCATGTCAGCCACTGTCTCCCCAGTGACATTCGGTGTCTTCCCCTTTCTTCTGAACTCAGACTCAACCGAGCTGCCTGGTATTAGCACCAGACATTCTTGACTGGGCTGCCTGCACCAAGCACTCTGCCCCTCCACATGTGGGCTGGCTGTGCCACAGGACACCCTCCGTGCATCCCAACAGGACCTGAAAATGAGGCAGGGCCACCAGAGGGGGTGACAGATCTTGGGACACAAAATAGTTCCCTGTTTCTGGTACCAAAGTGGATCAGTAAGAAAATGGAAAATTCCTTAAAAAGATACAAAGTACTCCTGCTTTTAGCAAATATTATTATTAAAGAATGCCACTTTTAGGTTCCATGGAGCAAAAATCTTCTTTTTCTGTGGGATGGTAATACACTGTCCATTTCCATGAAGGGGCGACTTCAGAAAGAGGCTGTAGGTAATCAGGCTCCCCTGTCTGCTGCCTGGCGTCCCTGAGGGCTGTGAGAAGGGCAGGGGTGTGGTTACGTGCGTGCAACTAGAGATGCAGGTCACAGCCACCTGACTTCCTAAGTGACCAGGCCAGCTTTTTACAATTCCATGATCCAGCCTGCAGTTCCCAAGACGGGAGTGGGTCTGTTTTTTAGGTGGGTTCCTGGCCCTTATGCTGCATCTGACCCCACCCTCCCTGCTGGCCCTGGGACTGCTTAAGTGTTCACACACACAGCTGCTGCTGGCCACTCCCCAGTGCCAGCTTTGAGAGTGAGGTGGTCACCAACACTTCTGATGTCCTTCGGCCCCATCTCAGAGCTCTGCCCAAGAGCAGAGGGGCACAGAGCCCCTGGGGCCCCTGCAGTGGTTCTGTGTACACTCATGATGAGGACCCACTTGGGGCACCCACAGCCAGTAATCGAAGCTACAGCCTGTATTAGTAAGGTGGCACCATTCCTGTGCCAAACTCTAACTTATAGCCTAGCCCTTGCTGTGGCCTCCACAGGCCATCCTCCGTTCTGAATGTGTCCTGAGGCAGGTACCAGACGGCCGTGCCATGGGGCTGCTCCACCTGCTCCTCCCCCTGGGCAGCAGAGCTGCTTTCCTGCCTGCCCTTCCTGCCTGCCCTTCCTGCTGTGATGGGGAGATGTGGGTTTCAGACCCTGTGATGAGAGCTTACCAAACCTACAGAAGTGTCTGCCAGCCACCCAGTTGCAGGGCCAGGTGTGAGGTCTGACCCTGATGCAAGGGATCCTGCCCCCAGCCAGTCTTTGTAGCTGACATCTGTGGTCTGTGACACTGAAACACTGCCAGTCTGGCCTATGCAGCAAGAAAGCTCATTTTCCCTCAGTCCACAGGAAGTGAGTGAGACCACAGGAGGAAGTGAGTGAGACTCGGCATGCAGGCAGGGGGGCCGTGTGAGGTGTGACTGTGGACCCCGTCACCTTTCCCAGGCCTCTCTGGTGGGCCTCACCTTGGTCTGGATGAGGGCTTCGCAAGGGTGTAGATGGAAGCTGCTGACTGCCAGCAGTTCCTCAGGCTCTCTGAGGCTGGGGCATTGTAGGATGTGGCCCTGGCTTCCAGAAGGGACCTGGGGAAACAAAGCTCTGTCATAGCTCTGTCATAGCCAATATGGCCATCAGGTTCCCTCCTGAGCACTTGGTCACGTTTCATTCTACAACAGCACTAAATTCCCTCACAGGTCAGGCCACAGGGCTTCCTGCTCAGCTCTGCCACCTGCTGGTCATTACCTGGCCTCCAGGTCCATGCACCCCTCAACCTGCCTGCGTGGTAGGAAAGTGTCCCCCAGAAGGGCACGTGTTGGAAGTACAGCCCCCAAACTCCTATATTGATAGCATTTAGAGAGGGGTTGGGGAGGCTAGTAGGATCAGAAGAGCTAGGATCAGACCAGGATCAAGGCTCCACTCGGCATCTATACAGACATGAAGAGAGACCAGGGCTGGCAGTGCCTGCCCGGTGATGTCCTTGCTGCCCTGTGCTACAGTAAGGAGTCCTCACTAGGTGCCATGCTATGCTGTGGTCACCAGCCTGCAGGACGAGGCGCTAAGCAAACTTCTACACTTTAGGAACTACACAAGCCTGAGGCTGTGTTATAGCAACATAAGGCAGACTGGCAGCCTGAGGCGGCCCCGCCCTGCTCTGACCCTCCCAGTTTCCTGGCCTTGGATGTGCTTCCATTGCAGCAAGAGGGGGCGGAGCCCTCCCCACTCCTCACACACCTGACCAACCTTGGGGCACACGGCCCTTCCCCAGGGCCACCTGCCTGCTCCTGGGCAGTCCTTTTTGAGCCCCTACACATTTAAAATGCCCATAGCACCTATGAACAAAAAAGGTCTCTGCCTCTAGAGTGGCAGCTGAAAGATCCTCCCCATAATGAGCACTTTCTCAGCTCCCTGCATGGTGGCGCACCACAGCCACGCCTACCAGGGCCCTGCCTGGCCTCTGAAGGGTCTAGCCTGGGGCATCAGGGATTCATCTTGGGGATAGGACCGGTTATGGACCATCTGCTAGGCCAACCTGCCAGTGCTGGCTGACGCTTACTGTACTGCGCTCAGGAGTGCAGGCGGCCCTTCCCCACTGCTGAGGGCACCCTCAGCTAGATGCCCTGTTCCTTGGCTCCTGATGCTCCCCATGCCCACACCAGAGCCTGCCCCATTCCCCGCCTCCTGTGCCCACAACACTGAAGGTACAGATTGTCCTGACAGTGTCTTCCTTCCTCAGTTCCTTAAGGGAGTCCCTAGGGAGCACCTGGCCCAAATTGGGCTGTGGCTTTGCACAATTTAGGGCCTTGGCTACCCTCTCTGAGCACACATGTGCTGTCTGCAGTGCCTCATCCTCGTGCTGCTGTGCACAGGTGTCTGGACACCATGCTGCCCATGCCAGTGGGGCACCCAGCCCTCCCATTGTGCCCTGCCGAAGTCTCACTTAAGTCAGCGGCCTTTAGGCCCAGGAAAGATGGGTGCTCCTGCTGCAGACCATTTTTAGCACCCATCCTGTGCCAGGCGATGGTCATCAGAGTGTCCTAACCACCTGCAGATGCCACCAGTCCTGTCCTCTGGCCACCTTACCTTCCGAGCAGGATCCATGCTGAGAACAAGGAAGAGGTTTTCCTGGCAGTGAGACTCGCTCCAGAGGAACTGTGATGTGGACACAGTGCTGGTGTTCTGAAGGCTTCTCCAGAGCTTCCTGGATTCAGAACTGGAAAACCATTGCACCCATTAGGAGACTGAGAGCCTTCTGAGCTGGTCCAAAGCCCAGTGTGAGCAGAGGGTACCTGGCCTTGAAGCTTTCAGGGCAGCAGCCAGCTGCACTGGGCTGTAGCAGTCACCCACATGCCCACCCCGCCTGTCTTTCCACACAGCAGCCCCACAGCAGTGCACATGCTCAGAGGGCTCCTCCCAGGAACAGACATGGGGTGGGGGGAGGCAGGGTACGCTGGGTTGTTACCAAGATGCCTATGGCTGTGCTGGCTACAAAGCGGAGGGCACAGAGCGGAACTAGGAATGTGAAGAACGAAGAAATGAATGAGGGATGTGAGTCACAGCAAGCGACACTGCTGAGAAGTCTGCCACGAAGTTCACATCCTCGTGCCCAAAAACTGCGGGACTGGACAGGATGCGATAAGCACCTAATCTCTGGTGTCTCGGACCGTGAAAGCAGGTTCTACTCCAGCCCAGAGTACCACCCATCCTCCAGTCATACTAGCCCCAGGCCTGCTGGGCTACCCTGGAGCCCAGCTCTCCCGGGGGCTGGGCCTTACAGGAGCCATACGGAGGGCTAACCCTGTGGCAGAATGCCTATCTGCAGGGTTCTGACAAGCCCTATGCCCAGGAAGACAGGGACACCAACCCTGCTTTGCTGAAGTCCCTGTCCTCCCCTCCTGGAGGTCTCAGGCTAAAGTCTCCAGCAGCTCAGCCAGCTCATACCTCACCCTTTGAACACAGTTCCTGTCAACTCCAACAGGGCCCCTCCCTCCAGGGCCCTTAGAGGATGCACACAATTGTGACTGATTGCCCCTGAGAGCCTTGCCCTGTGGGCAGCACTAGGAAAAACACAGGCTGAGCCTGTGGCTGGCTGGATGGCTGCTCCAGGGGTCCCTCTGCCCATGCTCAGCCCCATCTGGCCCATCTAGTTACACCAGAGGCCTGGTGCCTGGGTCAGTTAGTTTTGGTGCATAGGGGCTGCACCTCTGGAGCTTCCACGTGGGCTGTGGTTCTCATGGGACGCCTACAGGTGGCTTCTGGAGTGAGCTTCTCTAAGCAGTAAGCACAGAGCCTCCCACAGCTACTTTAGCAAACAGCAGAAAGGCGGAGCTCCTGAGAGACTTGCTGAGTTTGGACCTAAGTTCATTACCACAGTCTGTGCACAGATGAGAGGCCAGAGTTTTCATCCTTGTTTGCTTCTAAGAAATGGTATAAGGTGGAAACCTCTTCAGTGGTCTGCTCAACTGTAACCTCTTGAAAAGCAAACCTAAAAATGTTCTCATAGCTGACAACAGGCTAGAAAGAAAGAACATTCCAAAGTTAGGGGACATGCATACATTAGGCTGCTTTATGCAAGCTAACTTGGTACAAATGAAACTGATACTTGACTACACTTAACTGGGTGATCACTGCTGCCACCCATGGCCGGTCACTTCTGAACTCTGCACTGTGCACAATCATGCAGGACCAAGACCTACAGGACATGGGTGAGGACACAACTTCAACTCCATTGGCAGCACAGGGAGAAGGTGCCCCTCATGTTACCTCAGGTTCCTGGTAGGTTGGGCATGAGAGATGTCTGTAGTGTACAGGGAATGTGTGTATGTTCCACACTGCTCAGCTGGGCAAAGTTTCTACACTTGCCTAGTGTGTCCAGCAAAATTCCATTATGCTTAAATGTTCCCTTATATATCAATCACGTTGGAGCTGGGGATTTAGCTCAACGGCATAAGCGCCTGCCTTGCAAGCAGGCAGTCGTGAGTTTGATCCCTGGTACCGATAAAAAGGAAAACAAAGAAACAACAACAAAAAAAAAACCCTAATTTCCAATAAGCACTACAGCGAGCTGACTAAACTAAGAGTGGACCTGTCAGAGGTTGAAGGTCCATCCGGTTTCCTTAGTGGTTTTCCTTATTTTTGGCCTTTGGTGTTTGACGTGAACCAGTTTTGGAAGAGATGACACGGAAACAGGAGTAATGTGAAGAGGCAGAGCAGCAGGAAAGGGTCAGCCCAGTGAGGGAGCAGCGGTAGGAGAAAGAGCCCACTAGTAAAGAGGGCCAGAGGTGCACTGTGTGTGCATGTGTGTGTGTGTGTGTGTGTGTGTGTACACATGTGTGTGTGCGTGCGTACACATGTGTGTGTGCGTGCACACACAAAGGCTGGCAGTCAGCTCTGAGGGAGGGGCTGGACATTCCCCAATTCATCACTCTGAAACTGGACCGTGATTACTCTCAGGAGCTGGGACTTCCCACAGCTGCAGCTTCAGAACTGGGCAAAGAGCTCCTTCCAAGACCCTGAATGGGGCCCACCAGGGCCGCCACTGCTGAGGGGAAATGGCAGGCCTGGGGAGGTGTGGTCAGGGAAAAGACCAGCTTCGGTGGCTCCACCTGACCTGGGTATAATCCATTTCTGCAACATCAGGAGGACAGGATGGCCAACCACTTGGCAAGGGACAAAGGCCTAGAGAACAGCATGTTCCAAGGCTGGCAGGCCCCCACCCCTGGCCAGTGCACTAAAGCCTGCAGGAGATCTGCAGGACTTTTGGTGGGAAACACACTGCCCACTGAACAGGTGACAAGCACTGCAGAAATACCTCTGGAGATGGGTCAACGGCAGTTCCTGTCACCCAGGGTCGGTCCTGGTGTGACTGCTGCAAACAATGCTCTCTTGGGGCAGGAAGAGTTCTCCACCACTGAGGTTCCGCAGGACTCTGCAGCACTTCTGGGCTTTGTGAAAACTGTTCAAACTTGGCTGAAGATTCCTGGAAGCCTTTGAACTCCCCCCAAGCTCCGCTTAGCTCTCCTGGGTCTGCACCCTCCACGGTGCAGGAAGGGAGGTCCTCTTCCCCACAGCTGCAGGCTGTCCCATTCAGCAGCTGATTGTTGTTGTAGGTCCCTTTACGTTCCAAACTGTCACCACTCTGTCCCCCAGCTACCTGATGAAGGGAAACCTCACCTGGTTCCCTAGCATCACACAAGGACTCTCCCTGGAGCTCCTGCTGGCCTTGCATCTTCATCCAACCAGGCCAGCAGATGGATGGGAGGCAGCTCGGAGGACATGCAGCCGCTGAGCCGAGTTGCCAGCCCCTCTGCCACGCTGGATGGGCCAGGCGCGCGCGGGGGGGGGGGGGACGTGGGGGAGGTCCTCGCTTCCTGCGGGGAGTCCACGTGCGGCCACGGAGCCCACAGCTCCTGGGTGGCAGGGACACGTGCCCCACCGCCGCCTGGAGTCTGGGCGCTTGGGTGACGGGTCTGGTGCAGGACCGCACCCTGGGGCCGGACAGATGTGACGAGCAGAGGACCCACTGATGGAGGGAGGGGTGGGCGCCCGCGCGAGCCCCGGAGGGAAGTGAGCACAGCCCTACCGGTGGGCCCGAGGGCAGCGCGCGCCGGGAGCTCCGCCGGGCACGGGCTCCGAGACGGGGCTCCGGCCCCCACCCACCTTCATCGCGCGTCGAGGCTGCGAACCCGGCTGCGAGGAACCTGCAACCCACCGGCCCCGAAGGCCCGCGCCACGCGTTGCCTGGCAACGGCGCCAGCCGGCCCACTTCCTGCGCCGCCGCCGTGACGCCACACGCTGCACGGGCGTGGCCAGGACCTGCCAGTCCCACCCCAGAAGCGGGGAAATCCCCGGGCCAAGCTAGACTGGTGCTCTGGTTTCTCGACCCCGCGTGTCTAGCCCCTGTCTGCCGGCTCCTCCCCGGTCTTAGCGCTCCGCGGCACGGATCGCAGCCATCGCCGCCCCCCAACCCGAGTCGAGCCTGCACCGTGTGGTTCTGGGCTGCTGCAGGTCTCCCCACAGGGACGGGGCGCCCCGAGGACCAGGGCCCACGCCTGGCGCGCAGACTGACGCCTGGGCCCCAAGCCAAGCTGGCCCTTCGCCCTTGCGGGAGGCTGAGTACGACCTGAAGAGCAGGAGCCCCCCCCCCCCCCCCCCCCCCCCCCCCCGTCCTCTCGGGCCGCGCAGTTCCGGGCCTTCTCACAGCCAGCCCAAGCAGAACAGGCCCAGCCCGGGCCACGGAGCTTCCCCCTCTCGTGCCACTGGCTCAGAGTGAGGGCCCTGAGAGTTAGCCCTGTCCGTCTGCCAGCGTATGCCCCACCTCAGGCCCACACTCCTAGCCTCCTGCAGTCCACTGGAGCTGCCCAGCTGCCCTGCAGTCACACCCCGGCTTGGGAAGGGAGCGCCAGGCCCTCTCATCCACCCTCATTTCGCAGTGAGGCTTCCACGCCTCCACCCTCCGGACTCCTTGAGCCTTGTCCTTGTGTGAATTACCCAGTCCTTACCCATCTATTGCCAAGGCACTGAAAATTTTGATTTTAAAATGACAAGATGAGATCATTCTCTGCATTGGGACCGCAGCCACTCCACCCCCACTTCCGGAGTGACAGAGTGGCCTGGCAGCGCCCAGGGGGCCCCTGCCATCAGACTGCTCAGGACTAGGTCTTGGCTCTACCCCTGGCGCCAGCAGTGGCCCTGCAGCTGTCTGGCTTTGCAGTGAGCTTCAGCTTACCTCATCATGTCCTGCTGTCTGTCCATCTCCAGTGGTCAGCTCCCCCTGCCCACTGTCCTCGTTGTCCTGGAGCCCCAGGCAGTGAAATGTCCTTGTGTACAGGGAGGGGAACCGAGGTCCTGACCCACGGGGAGATGGGGAGTGGGGCTGGAGCCGCTTTCCCAGCTGTCAGCAACTCGGCACCTGCCTGCTCCAGCCCTGTCTAGGCCTCAGATCAGGTGTCAGAGGAAATGACCCAGGAGCCAAGCAGCAGCCGTAGGATCCAGGTCTCAGCCCGGGGACCCTGACTGGGATGACCTGCATTTCCCAGCATGACAGCTGAGGGTCACGCCTCAGAGATGTCTGCACCCTCTTCCCCAGGAGCTAAGAAGGAAATGGGGCCAGGTGTTGTGCACACCTGGAATCCCAGCACTTGAGAGGTTGAGATAGGAGGATTGCTGCAAGTTCAAGGCCAGTCTGGGCTCCATAGTTCAAGGCCAGCAGCAAGACCCTGTCTCAAAAGCAAAACCAAACAAACAAAAAATGGAAGGTCAGAGTCATAGTTGGGAAACACAAACAGGTTGGAGATTCGGGGCAGGAGCCAAGTGGTGCTGACACCCAGAAGCAAGGTAGACAAGGAGACTGGGCTCCCTCGAGGCATCCAACACTTGGTTAATGTGCCTGGGTGATCTCTGGTGACCCCACTGAGGAAAGCTAGAGGGACCCTGTCTTCAGTGCCCAGCCCAGCCTGCAGGAGGGTGTGGCCCCTGTCAGGCTTCAGGGTGGTACAGCCACACAGGATGCAACCCCAGGGCTGGCCACCAGGGGCTCCCCTAGGGGCCTGACTGCAGAGGGAGCAGCTGCTCAAGCAGAATTGGTGCCACCTGCTGGGGGGGAGTGGGCCCGATGGAGTTGGTCCCCATCAAAACCAGGGTGTGGCAGACACAGCCATGAACCCCAGAGGCCATGAAGGGATGTTGTGCAGTGCCTCAGGAGGAGGAGGAGGAGCCCAGGTGACCCTCCCAGGTTGCCCTCCAACATCAGTGTCCGCACAGCCCCAACCCTGCAGTGTTCTGTCTCAGGACTTCCCTGCCCAGTCTCAGGAGGAAGGCAGTTTAGGTCCTAGGTGCTGTTCTGCAAAAGCATGAGATATCCTCACACTCCGCATCCCCAGGATCCTGGGACCCCAGTCCCCTGCCTCTGTCAGCCTGTGATGTCTGAGCAGCAGGACCAGCCCCAGAGCCAGCGGAGCCCACTTCACAGGGGTGGCTCAGACACAGGGACAAAAGGCAGAATGCGGCCCCCCGATATGCCTCCCATATTGGGGCCCAGCTCCCAGATCCCAGTCATGTGTTGGGCTGTGGGCTGCGCTCAGAACTGGCACAGCACTCAGTGCTGGCTTGGGAAGGCGGTCGAGGCAAGGCCATTGTAGACAGGAAGGGAGAAGAAGCTGTCCTAGGCCCTTGGCCAGTAGGATGGAGCCCTCCAGTTGCCCCTGGGTAAGGGAAGGGGACCTACCCTGCCCATCATGCCCCTCTAGCAGACTGTGGCAGGCAGGGCAGGGCTGAGGCTATTTTTGCTGTGCTGCTGCAGTACCACAAGGAAGCATCAATCATTGATGTTGTGGGCATCCCAGCCTGCTTCGAGGAGAGTGCGGGAGAGCGGGTGGGGAGGTGGGCAGGGTGAAATGGGCGCCTCAGCAGGCCCCGCCCATGCCTGCACCCCATCTGGGGAGGAAGAGTGTCAGGCACAGTGCTGAGAGCACTCCTCGGATGACATCTAGAGGAGTCGGGCCTCATATGCACTGGTGTGACCCTGACTCGGGTCCATTTTTCCTTCGATGCAGGGGTGGGTGATGTTGATTCCTGAGCAACGCAGCATTGGCCATCCATAGCTCAACCTCTGTCCCTAGAGGGGGATGGGGAAATAGGCTGGAACTGAGCCATGGTGACAGAAATCTGGCAGCACAGGGCTCTGCGGCAGGAGATGAAGGTGGTCAGGCTTCTGCAGGGAGGAAGGACTGAGGATAGGGTGTCGCAGCCCCCCATTTTTCCCTGCTCCTGCTTGCAGCAATCTGATCCTGGAGCCTGGCAGAACAGGTTCTGGCTGGAGTTTGGGGGGCGGTGAAGGCCAGTTCCCCACCTGCCTGCAACCTGTCTGTCTGTGGGCTGGTCTTTCCAGAGATGTCTTGGTTGAGACAGAACCCACAGGGCCCCAGGAATACAGGGTGATCAGATGGGCCCCGTGGTGGAGAGCTTTCTGGGCAGTTCTCCAAGTGTCTGACCCATTTGGCCTGCAACCGGAGGGGGTTCCCAGATGCGCAGTAGAGGAAAAGCTTGGTTAGAGTCTTTAGCTTGCTGACCACGGCCCAACCCCTGGAGCAGAGGGACTCTGCCCACTCCCACCCTGAATCTGGGGGCTGCAGGTGAGCAGGCTTCATTAGGCCAGAGAGCAGCCTTCCCCAGGGGGCAGGGACACTGTCTCCACAGCATGACACCTGGGGAGCCCTCTCACACTTGGTTTCTGCCAGGGCAGCCTGGAGAGGAGCAGAGGTGGAGGAGCCCCAGGATTCAATCCCTGCCCCTCACTAGGGTCCATCCTCATCTTCCCTGCAAAGCTGACAGAGCCACTTCACTTCAGCAGGGCCCAGGGGCTAAGTGACCTCATCAAGACTATCCACCTAGTGAAGGGGGGACAGGGATCTGGGTCTGTGTCCTTAGGTTCCACAAGACTTGCTCTCAGGCCTGTGCCCCCAGCTCACAAACCAGACTGAGGCACAGTGGATGAGCTGGCTGAGGTTCTGGCAGACCCAAGGGACAGGCATACACCGAGACACAGGGACACACACGCCTAGCCCCACAGGCACCTCTCCATACACCCAGGCCTATTCACCAGGGGGAGAGGTGAGACCCAGTATCCCTATCCGAAGAGGGCTGTGCCTGTCATGCCGCAGGAGGAGGCTGCCAGGCCTTTCCTGGCAGCTGCTCCAGTGTGTCTGACCTGCTGCTGGCACACTGCCTGACAGCTGCAGCCCAGCAAACAGGAACAGCCAGGCATGAGTCATTGGCCGGCTGGCTCACCTGCATGTCTGGGAGTGCAAGCACCTGGGTGCAAGTGCATGCAGGTCTGTGTCCTGGTGTGTCTGTCACTGCACGTGGGCCTAGGGTGTGTGCGTGTGGGACATCAACATTGACCTGTGATCTGTGATGGTGTGTGCTGTGGGCCTCTTCTGCTGCAGCCCAGCCTCTTTGTGCCCCTACTGCTCACAGGATGCCTCCACCCAGTGTTTCACCCCAAGAAAGGCATGTGTGTGTCCATCTGCCTGGCCTGAGCAGCACATTGCTGGGGTTAGGGTTAGGGTTGGGTTAGGTCCTCTGTGGTGGCTGTCCGTTCTGGGTCTGTTACAGCTGTCTCCCCACCTGCTTGGCTGCAGGGCTCCACTCCACACTGGGGCTTCCTCCCCCAGGTTGGCACCAGCCAGGTGCCAGACCCTGGAGCCCTGGCCCCCTGCCTCTCCCTGATGTGCCCCTCTGTGTGGCACCCGAGTGATCCCAGAGAGGTTGCCAACCCAGACCCCCATACTAGGTTTCAGAGTGTCTAAGAACCTGCTACTTCCTCACCAGCTGGTGGTTTGGGTCAGGCAGTGCCCCCCTGCCCCAGCTGTCTCTGCGCCCCCAGACCTCAGCAGACCTCACCAAAGTGCCCTCAACAGCGCCCACCTCAGCTAGCTGCTTTCAGCCACACCACTGCACTCCCTGTCTGGAGTCCCCTTCCTGCCCTCAGCCTGAGTGTGGCTCACCCCAGAGGTTCCAACCCCCGGCCCCCAGCTCCTCAACTCTGCAGGCTTCCCTGGGTCCACCACAGCCCCCAGCTCCAAGGCAGGGCGAGTGGGGGCCTATTGTCTGACCATGTCTCCGTCTCCAGGCTCCTGACAAGAACAGACAAGGTGAATCTCGGCTGAGGTCGGACACTCTCTGCAGGCACCGCAGCTTCGCCCAGGGAACAAGGTCTTCACTGGACCAACTAGCCTGGCCTCACCTCTACAGACCCCTCGCCCCTTCCACCTTGCCCTAGTGAGCCCAGATCACATGTCATCACCTCCCTGGACTCCTGCACCCCACTGCGCCCCAGGTTAACATAAAAAAGGGCGGCCGGGCGCAGGATCTAGAGGTCCCTCCCGAGTTGATTTTCAGTGTGCTCCCCTGACCGAGGAAGGCAGGCGGGGGCTCGGAGCTGGCTGGAAGGACGCCCGGGGCCTGCGGGGCGCCTCCAGTGGCCGGAGGGGCGGGGCCCGGGTCGCTAGCAGGTGGCGTGGCTGGGGCGTGGCTTAGGGTCTGCGGCCGGGGGGCGGGGCGGGATGGGGCGGGGCCTCGGCCGGCGCAACCAATGGT